ACCAGTGAAAGCTACAATGGGAAAGAGATCTGTAATAATAATATGGATACAAAGACAAATCAAATATTGATGTATAGTCAGTGTCTACTATGTACTACCAATAGAAAATAATTTAGCAGTAACAGCTTTTAGTCAACTAAATGTCTAAAAAACTTAATAATGCTTAATTGTAATAATAATAACAATGGTGATAGAATAAGTGAAAAGTGAAAGTAAAATTGAAAAAGAAGATGAGAAGGAGGAAAGAAAAGTGAGATAAACAATCCAACTAAAGAGTTCATAGAATTAGGTAAAAGTAACAAAAAGAAAAAAAGAAAAAAAAAATACAAAAAAGAATAAAAGAAAGAGCAAAAGAAAGAAGACAAAGGAAAGAGAAAAGAAAAGCATCTAAAAACAAAGAGAAATGAGTCCAAAAAATTCCTGTGTGTTTGGGTGAGTGGTTTCTTTCCAAGACTTGTAGTAGTAGAATCCACCGGGTATAAGGGGGGGGATAGTGGATCACTACTAGGGCCTATTTTATTTCCATATCCACTTTTTGTGTGTATGTATGTGTGTATACTGAGTCCTATCCCACCCTTCCTGCTGGGTAGGGTATCTTGCTTAGGGCTCTTAGTATTTATGCCTCTCTGTTGCTGTTCTCTCCACCTAGCTTTGCAGCCTGTGGGCTTGTGAGGTGCCCCCTGGGATATGGTAACCAACAGAGCCACGGTTATCCCTCATCGTGTTGGCAGATGGGGGTAATCAGACAGAACACTGAGCTTGGTGATAGATGTAGGCAGTTGGGGAGGGATGAGGTTGTGAAGCAGCCCACTGGACTTAATGCCTGCATTTTCAGACCCAGCCCCGCAGAAAACCACATGTACCTCCTAACTTCTCATGTTCCAACTGTAAATGTCATGCGTCTAAAACTGAGCTCACCCCTGCTTAAGTTTTTCAAAGGGTCTATGTCTAGTTTATACCCTCCCCATGACTGTCTCTTGTGTCCACCTCCCACCCAGTCACTGGTAGGATGACCCCAGGAACCCTAAAGTATGGTTTTCCTGTGGCTTCTGATTCTTAGAGTAGCTCAGTTTTAAACAGTGAACCCCTTCCCCAAATGGCTCCTGATTAATTACTCCCAAGTGTGGCAGGTGCTGTATTGTATTTCTTGTCCAACTCTGCCCTGCCGTGCAGAACAAGTTACCTTCAGAGTGAAATCCCATACTGTATTTGCAGTTTACAGTAACCATGAGCTTTTTGTGGGGGCTAAGTTTGCTAAGACAGGTCTATTTTCTAGGAACCAGGATTAGCTTTCCAGACTTCTCCATTCTTTTCTGTGTATTATCTTTAGTTTCTCCATTTTCTTTATGCTTTCTAGTTTTTCAGTTGGCTCTTTCTTTTTGGAGCTATTCCCTTTCTTTTCACTAGTTGCTGTTTTCCAGGTATCTGGATTTCAACTTCTGGAGAGGTTGTGATACGCTACTGGTGTTTATTCTGTCATTTTGTTTTCTGAACCTCATTTTCTTCATTTGTAAAGTGGTCATGATAGTAGTACCTGTCTCAGGTGTATTCAGAGGTTGAAATGAGATGTTCATTAAGCATGTTGCATAGTATATTTCACATAACTAGCTATTATGCCTGTTACTTCTAGTTGCTTTTTCATCCCATATATAGTCAAATTGGCTATAACTTATAGTGACTCACACTTAAAAGTAGGTAGATAAAGGTAGATTCAGTTAGATTCAGGTCAGTGTAATATAATATTTGGACAGAAGAGGGCTCCCTTGCTCCAGCTATGAAAATCACTATATAACTGCATGCACATGAATTTTTTTCTTCTTGCATATTGTGACATGTTCCTTGTGTACATGGAGTTAAAATAAATAGAAATACATAGTATTACAAAGTTTTAGACTTAGTAAAATTGACAGGTGATAAGAATATATTGTTATTCTGTTTATTGAGAGTTGGCATTTGAGGCTGAACGCCTTTTTATATCTATCATAATCATGTTCCAACTCTAAAGTAAATTTTAACTGATAAATGTGAACATCCCATTTGAGTTTTAGAATTTTTATCCTGGTATGCTAATAAAATATGTAATGTATAATTTGAGAATTTTCTTTCATTATATAATAATATTGCATCTGTATCATACCTTTGATACCATAGTTATATGATATTATTGATATGATAGCATAACTATGATACCATTTATATCATTAGTATGATACCATACTACCCTATATTGCAAATTAGAGTTAATCTCTATTTTGTAAAAGGATATTATAGTATCTTCAGAACAGAAAATTAAGTGGCTGGATATTCAGCATCAGGGATTAAGTTTGACTTTGAAGATTATATATGTGAATGTAATCTTCCTTTATTTATTTATTGTTTTCTTTTGTGGTACTTGGGCTCTAACCCAGGGGCACTCTAACACTGAACTATATCTCAAGCCTTTTTCATTTTTTTCTTTAAGAGGGGCTCATTATGTTGCCTAGGTTATTCTTGAACTTGGAGTCTTTCTGCCTTAAATTTCCTGAGTAGTTGACATTACTGGCATGAGTCCAAGTTTGAGGCCAGCTTGTGCAATCTAGTGAGACTTTGTCTCAAAATAAAATTTTAAAAAGAGCTGGTAGGTATAGCTCAGTGGTAGAGAGTGCTTGCTTAGCAAGGCCCTGAGTTTATTCTTAGTATCATAATAACAAAAACAAAAAATGAGAGAGAAAGACACAGACAGAAAGAAAGACAGAGAAAAGGAAAATTAGTAAACTTTTAGGAAAAAGGTGTGGAACATTTTAGTATCGTATCTAAGATCAGATGGAACTGACTTAATGTGATCTTTCTTGTTAGACTGAATCTGGCCCTGATTTATAGTAACAAGTAAATGTTTCATACTGCTGCAGCATTGGACCACTGATATTCCTCCTCAGATAAACTATTGTCTTGATGTTATTCCTTTATGGCTTCTCCTAGCTTCTTTTGCCAGCTGCTTCTCACTAACTTTATGTGCAGGTGTTAAGTGTTCCTTAGAGCTCTTACTACCTACATGTCTCTTTCTTTTTCTCCATCTACTCCTAGGATTTTAGGTTGCCATTATCGAAGATGTTAAATAACTGAGCTGATGGATGATAGCTGGTTGCTAGATGGCTGAATGAATGAATAGAGAGGAAAAAATAAGACAAGTCAGTAGCTTCCCTTGAGGACCTATCTGTCTTGGCAGAAAGTTCAAAATCTTACCCTTCTCACCGTCACCTTTTTCCCAAAGGCCACTTCCTTCAGGGGTGATTTTATCTCAGTTCCTTAAGTAGGCCCCTCCTCAAACAAGATTAGCTCCCTGTTGCACATTTTAATAGCACCCTGTACTTCTCCATTAGAAATACATATGACTTTGAAATAATTTATTTTCTGTATGGGAAAGGACTCTGTGACTTGTTTAATTTATTATCTCCAATTTTTAATGAAGTGTTTACTCCACAAAGGAGACATTCAATTGAGTGAGTGAATCAGTGAGTTCAGTTACTCAGAGTAGAAAGGAACTTCAGGGATGAGTCCTAGAATCATGACTTAAAGGATACTCTGTAGTTTTGATTTTCAAAGTATATTCCTCTTGCCAGAGCATTGTTATCAGTTAAGAAGTTGTTAAAAAAAATACAACCTTAGACCCTTTCAGATCTACTGACAAGTTCCCAGGATGATTCAAAGACACGGTAAGGTTTGTGAGAAGCACTGCTGTCTATCATGTGGTTGTTCTGCTTTTGCTTTGGTACTACCAGGGAAAAGGAGTCTACAATCATCCGGAATAATCATTTACATTTTTGAGTAGTTGTTTTTGCTGGCAGATTTCTCTTAATGTTTAGCCCAAACTTCGAACTTCCTCCCTCTGTTTCTAATTATGTTTTTCATCCTCCAGAATAACCCTATCTACTTTTTTTTTTTTTTTAACCTGTAGACCTTTGAGTATTTGGAAGCAGGTATCATGTTCATCATATTACAAGATGGCAGGGAAGTACAGGACACTATATAGTGGTGATTTTCAAAAATTGACAGTAATATATCCTTGGTGCTTTTCTTTGTTTCCCTTAATAAACATTGAAGCATTGAAAATTTGTGTTCTATGACACAATTACATGTGTTGTCATCTGTAGATAACTGTGGAAAAGGTCAGAACGTCACCTTTACATGACTTTGGAAAAAATATTGTGGGAAATGAGTATTAATAAACTGCTTTCATATGTTGATCATCTCCACAAGTAAAAGAAATTATTGCTTAAAGCCAGGTGTGGTGGCACAAACCTGTAATCTCAGCACTTCGAAGGTTTTTGTTTGTTTGTTTTATCTCTTTTGAGACAGGGCCTCGCTACGCAGTTCAGACTGGCCTTGAGCTCACTTTATAGCTCAGGCTGGTCTAGAACTCGCAATGATCCTCCTGCCTTAGCCTCCCAAGTGCTGGGATTACAGGCATGCGCCACCACACCCGGCTAGCACTTGGAAGGTTGAGACAGGAGGATCGCCACAAGTTTGAAGCCAGACTGGGTTACATAGTGAGTTCAAAGCCAGTCTGAACTACATAGTGAGACTCTGTCTTAAAAAAACAAAAAGAAAGGAAAGGAAAGGAAAGGGGAAGGGGAATGTAGGGAAGGGGAATGTAAGGGAAGGGGAATGTAGGGGAAGGGGAAAGGGAAAGGGAAGGAAAAAGAAATTATTCCTTATATTGCAATCTACAAGAGGGTGTTTTTTTTGTCAATATGAGGTTTCTTTTTATAGGTGCCACTTTTTAAGTTCTATAATACCTATTCCAGGCTATAGGAAAGCGTAAGATATGATTCTTTCCCAAAAGCCCTAACATTTTAATTGCAGAGATATGATTAAGGAACCTAAAAGATTGGAAAACAGTGAGGTGTTTTAACTGTAAGACTATAAACGAACTACACTGTTGGGAAGAATTATGCTTGTAGGTACAACTGTCACACTACCTCAAGATAATACTTAATAAAATAGTGTTGTTTCCTTTTCAGGACATGCATCCTCAAAGAAACCAGAAGATTCTATAAACAGTAAGTATCAAGTGTGTTTTTAATTGAGATTCAAGGTATTTGCAATTTGGATTTCTCATAAATCATATCTCAGTCTGATGTGAATTATTTTGGTTTTTGTATTTCATGAGAAAAATCATAAAAGGATGCCAAAGGTGAATATTTATTCCCCAAGAGCAACTGAAAGTTTTTAAGTGTAGAGAGCATTAAATTTTTTTTCAGTAAATACAATTCACATTATAAAATGTGAAGGAAATGAAATAGAGGGGTCAGATTGGAATGGAAAATGAATGGGGATGGGCTAAGATTGAAGGGACGTTGCTTATATTGCATGAGTCTTGAGTGATAGTTTGGTGATTTTCATTGATTGAATGAAGTATATGGTTTGTGCATGGAAAGGAGACTCTTGCTAGCTGATTGCTGCTAGTTAGTATTATAATTAGACCTACAGTTTTCACCAGCTTGGAGTAAAACAGATTTGATTTCACGAATACAGTGGTACTTCAGTTTATAAATTTAACTTGTTTTATGATTTGGGGGAAAGTGACTGTGTTTATATTTGTGTGGGGAAGATGGCCATGGTTGTGTTTACCACCCAATGTGGAGTTCACAAATGGAAGCAAAATTTTACCAAACACTTTTGTTTGCAAACAGAAGCATTTGTGAACTGAGGTATCACTGTATTAGCTATTAATTCAATTTTCGCCTGCAATATCACAAAAAGAATTCACAATGACTTTAAAATGTATATAAGATTTTTAAGGTAAAAATTAGAATAATGGCGATAAAGTAGAATAACAGTGTAAAGCTACAGGTAAAATTGATACAGACAAATGCATGACAAAAAGTTTTGTATGCTTGTAAAGGTACATGACAGATTTGTCATTGTGGTGACAAACAGGTTCTGTTGTGACTGATAGGATCTTCCTGTCAGCCAAACCCAATAGCAGTACCATGAGTAGAATGAATCATAGTATCCATAAGATAACAGAGAACTCAGGAGTCAGCTTTTTCCTGGCAATTTTGACAGAAGAATCTCCTTTGGGTTCATGAAAGGGGACATCCATTTGTAGTGACTTACAGACTCCATGCTATACATATATTAGATCTCCTGAGAACTAGAGAATTTAATTGTCCAAAGTCAAATAGTTAATGGCAGACTTAGGATTAAATTCAAGTTTATAATTCCAAAATCTGTGCCCTGTATCATCACCTGTGCCTCAGTACAGCAAATGCAGGTCCACTCTTTGTGCCCTAATATTGGCAGGTATATTAAATAGATCCACATTAAATGATACAATCCATTTGTGTCTCATTTCTGTTATAAAGTGGGTATAAAGAGACCTACTTTGTTGGATTGTTAGTTATCAGAATCATGAGAAAACACATACTCATAAAGTATGTGCCTGACACAAAGGAAGTCATTTATCATCTGTAGCTATAATTATTGTTATGTCACAGGAAAAGACCAAGTATTAAATAGATTCTGTGTTCATTTTCTAGAATTGATCAGATTTAAGTCTGTAAACATCTGACCTGTCCATTTGTCATTATTATTGGAGACATTTTCCATCTCTTCAGTGAGTCAGTTTCTAGGTATGACCACAAAAACCAAGATGATAGACCTGCTTTCATTATTTAAAGCACTTGGGAAAAATTATGCAGTTTTAGGCATGACAGTCTAAAGGGGACATTGAAGAATTGAAGCAAACAGGAAGAGAACAACCAGATTCTTAAAGAATACCTGAAATGGTGCCATGGGAAGAGTGTTGGCTGAATTGCAGGCATTTAGATTAGAGAAAAGTGAAAGGATGGGAAAAGAGGTGGGGAGATATATGTGGAAACTGTAGATATTTGGAAGGCTGCTACTATACAGAAGACTTACTTTGGTGCTTCAGGTTGGCATACTCAGATTTTACTAATAAAAATTTCTTGGAAACAGATGATTGCCTCAATTTAAGGAAAAATTGGTCATTTAGAATGGTCTTAACAAAAGGACTGGAGGAATGGGCTCCTTCAGTAGTAATGTGTTCAAGCACAGATCAGACAACTAACTTCTCGTTATTGAATATGTCACAGTTCATTTTTTACATAAGGGTTGGACTAAAGGACTTCTAAGTTTCTCTTCTAACTCAGAGAATTAGTGACTTAAATTCTGATCCCCACCTGCCAGAAATGACTGCAGAGGTCTGACTGTAATGCTGTGAGAGCATCATTTGGCACTGACCACTCTTGTTATTTCCTTAGCAGTGCTTCTCCCACCTGTGGGGACATGGCAATGATTTTTAGTGACTGCCAGCTTCAGATAACTGGGTGTTTTAGAGTCAGGATTATAAGGTCGTAAGCGTATTTGGCCACTTTTTCAATGAATACTTTTGCAGAAGGAATTATCTACCAATGTTATTCTAAACTGATTATGAATTTTTTTAGTAAATTGGATAATCTGGTATAAAAAATTTATATATGAATTCTGGGGCATGGGAAGTACTCTTTCAAAGGAACAAAGAACAGGTAGTGGTAAGGCTTTTTGAAATCAGCTGCCTGCTTTTAAAGGCTTAATAGACTTTGTCTGACATCTGAACACAATACCAGACCGATAGATTTAGTAGACCTAATTAGTTTTTGTGTAGTTTCTTTATGTCATGCTAGTGAGTTTTCATAAAAAACCAGAGGAGTTTTATTCTTTTCACATCAGTTTGAGACACTAGCAGTTCCAGTGGTGTCTGTCATTGTGTGAGAATCTTCCCAAGGTGCTGTAATTTTATCATTTGTATATAGATCATTAGAAATACAACACATACCTCCCCTTTATCCCCCATTTTTGTTAAAATCAGTGCCACAACAGATTTATTGAAGGCTAAAGTTCAGACACACACATTGATTCGGAGTTCAAAGTCCAGCAGGTAGAAGGCTAGAACCACAGGGGCAAATCAATATGTTTTACTTTTGTGTTGTGCTGAGCTAAGGGACATTCTGTACTGACAGGCCAAATTTGTGTTAAAGTAATAGTTGCAATATTAACTCTTAGAATTATCACTTGAAATGTAGTTGTCTTTGATTTATTCTTTTTGGTCATACAACAGATATACAAGTTAAGATTTTTGTAGAGAGCATATTTATTATATTAGGACTAATGTGGTTATTGGAGAGGAACTATTTACTAATATAATTACTTTGTGGAATATGGTTTCATTACCCAATAATACATTTTCCAATATATAATGATTTTTAGTTGGCTAATACAGTTCATTTGAAATGGTGGTTTTTAAAATTTTCAAAATGGAAGTATTTTAGTTATTTTTTTACTGATTTTAAAGTTACATACTCATTGTCTTAGTAGAAGCAGTTTGGACATGTTTAAAGTAGAAAGCAAAAGTATCCAAGACTCACAGGTAATACAATCACTATTAAATTTGATTGGTCCTTACACTCCTATGCTGCATTATATAAATTTACACATATAAAACATATAAATATTTTAATGTAGATTGGGTTATACCAGGCAAACTTTCTGTAACTTTTTGAAAGTTTCATATAGCATGGACATTTTCCCCTGATAAAAACCTATAGATAGGTTAAGGTTTTTAAAAACAGTTGTGTAGTATTCATTTAATTAATTCTTAATCACAGATTAGTGAGGAATTTGGTTGTTTTCTTTTGTTATATAGTCTGCATCTTTGTACATATATATCTGAGGTATTTATTTAAGTAAATAATCAAATTCTTAAAAGTGGCATTGCTGGTTATATCACCTGTACCGTAAACTGATCTATATTGCCAGATTTTCCTCAAGAAAAAAGGTTATAGAATTTTTTACTTTGAATAGTTTATGAGAATGGCTATTTCTTCAGTGAAACAAGCTTCTTCTAATTGATGTAGTAAATACTAGTTTTACATATGTGACATATGTTCTCATAATTCATTTGGCAAGTCTTACATAGTAGCTCAATTCTTGAAGTAATGGTCCTAACATAAATGTGCTCTGTACAAATTCTTAACTTACTTGTCTGTTGTATGACCAAGAAAAAGAATAACTAAATCAAAGAAGGCTATTTGGCAGGAGATAACTCCCTTTTAAGAATTAATATTGGAATTGCTACTTTAAGCTAGCTTAGGCAAGCTTTTCATGAGACATTAAATTTGTGGTCTTTTCTGAACCGATTATGAATGGTGTTTCTCCAGTTATACTTATTTTTAAAAGAATTTATTACATCTGGAAGACTGAATTAAATTTCCAGAGAACCATAAAAGTAGAAGCTGAATTACAGTTAAGTCCAACATTAATTGCATTGGTGAGTAGTTTAAGGTGTGTTTTAAATATACCATGTTATTTACCATTGTCTTTTAAATGAGCAGAAAACTGTGATGAGGAAGAAAGTCCTTCAGAGTCTGAGCTGTGGAAGGGTCCACTACCAGAAACAGATGAAAAATCACAGTAAGTGCTGCTACTAGAAGAAAAAACAGACCCTTTAAATCAGTTTAGATAGCTATGACTGGGGCTGGGGATTTAGCTCAGTGGCAAAGCGCCTGCCTGGCAAGCGCAAGGTCGTGAGTTCGATTCCTGGTACCTGAAGAAAAGAAAAAAGACAAAAAAAAGAAGGAAAAAAAAAAAAATAGATAGCTATGACCACAGTGCTTCTTGACAACAATTAATGAAAAAATTCAACATCATGAATGTGTCTTTAATGCCAAGGACTACCTTGGCAGGTAAGATGAGAGTTTATTTCTAGCCATTATTGGTGGCCATAAACAGCTAATGTGTCCAGTGTCCTTGGGATGAATAAATATTTTGTCAGCCCACTGTAACAAGTGAACCTCTCGTCCTTGTTTGAATTTCTTGAGAGAGGGCTCTTTACTAGCTTCCAAGGCAGTCTGTCCCATCATAACTGTGATGATCATATACCTGTACTGAGGAGCCCCTTGAAGATTTATACAAGTGTATAAATGTCCTTGCCAAAAGACATATAAGTTAGTGCACCATTCTTCTCTACTATGATTTAGAAGAAGAAATACACTCTGGGTATGGACTGAAATGTTACCAGTTCTTGCCATGTGTTAGGTGTTCACCAGTTGAAGCTTATCCATTAAAAGGGGATAAAATACCTACCAAATAGAGTTTATTGTGAAGATTAAGTGAATTGAGAAGGTAAATCATCTGATACTATACCTACAAATAGAGTAAGTGCACAATACAGTTTAGCCTCATTTTTGTCTATAATCATATTGGTCATAATAGAGGCTTCTTGAATCATTTTATTTTGATGTTAATTATATGATATGTTCTCAGTGCAACAGAACCAGGTTTTTAAAAAATTGTTAACATCTTTATTGATGACCAGAGAAAACCACCTTAATTTCAGAATTTCTTCAAAACTTCTCTTTAGCTTTGTCTTCCCCCTTCATATTTTTTTATTAAGTTTATTGGTACATTTTAGATATATATAATGATCGCACTTATCATAGAGAATTTATACCTGTACATGATATATCTTGATTCTTCTTTTTTCCTATTCCCCTAACCCTCCATTCAACCCTTCTAATTCCTACTTTTTACAAAAGCTTTGTTTCCATTTTTCCTTTTCTCCTTTTTTTTTCTTTCCCTTTTCCTTTTTTTTCCCCCTTTCTTTTTTTCCCTTCTCCCCTCACTATTCTCCCTTCCCATTTGAACATTTTCTTCCTCTTTTACAATACCTGTTATACCTTTTGGTCCTTATTTACACTTTCAGTTTCTCACATGAGAGACAATGCTGTATTTTATATGTGTGTCTGATTTATTTCACTTACAAGTATGGTCTCAAGGTGCATCCATTTAGCTAGAAATGTCTCAAGTTTATCTTTCTTTATGACTGAGTAGTACTACATTGTATAAAAACTCCCACATCTTCTCTAATCATTCAACAGTTGATGAATATTTGAGCTGTTTCCAAGATTTAGCTATTAAAAGCTGTGCTCCTATAAACATGTGCGTGCATATAGTGCTATGGTATGATTCTTTTAACTCTTCCTGGAAGATACCAAGGAGGGAATAGCTGGGTGGAGTGGGACATCTAGTCCTAGCTTTTTTGAAGAATCTCCACACTGATTTCCACAGTGGTTGTAGCAGTCTGAATTCCCACCAACAATGGAGAAGGTTTCCTTTTTCCCCACAGCCCTACTAGCATTTGTTATTGGTTGATTTCTTAATAATAGCCATTCTTTGTAGGGTGAGATGGAATCTCAGCATTATTTTAATTTGCATCTCTCAGATAACCACTGATGTTGAACATTTTTTCATATATTTATTTGCTGTTTGTACTTCTTCATTTGAGAAGTGTCTGTCCATTTCAAATGCACATTTTTGGATGTGTCTTTAAATTTGAGGGGTCTGATTTTTTTTTTTTTTGAGTTCTTTATATATTCTAGATAGTAGTCCTTTGTCTGTGGAACAGCTGACAAAAATTTTTCCCATACTGTGGGTTCTCTGTTCACTCTGTTGGTAGTTTCTCTTGCTGTTCCAAAGGTTTTTAATAAGATGAGATACCAGTTGTTGATTCTTTGTGATATTTCCTGCGTGATTGGGGCTTTGTTCATAAAGTCTTTGCCTACACCAACATCTTTAAGAGTTGTACCTATTTAATCTTCCAGCAGATTTAGTGTTTCTGTTTTAATATTCAGATCTTTGATCCATTTTGATTTTAGTTTAGTGCACGGTGAGAGATATGTGTGTAGTTTTAATTTTTGGTATATGGAAAGCCATTTTTTTCAGCACCATTTATTAAAGAGGCTATCTTTTTCCCAATGAAGGTGTTTGGCTCCTTTGTCAAAGATAAGGTAGCTGATTATGTCTGGAGTTGTTTCTGCATCTTCTGATCTGTTCCATTGATCCTCAGGTCTGTTTTCTTATTTTGTTTTGTTTTGTTTTTTCCACTAGTACCATGAGGTTTTTATCACTGTAGCTTTTTAGTATAATTTCAAGTCAGAGGCTGTGATACCCCCTGCTTTGCCTCTGTTGCTTAGGATTGCGTTTGCTATTCTAGGTGTCTTATAGTTCCAAATGAATTTTAGGATTGTTTTCTCTAATTCTGTGAGATGTGCTATTGGAAGTATGGCCATTTTCACTATACTGGTTCTTCCTACTCAAGAGCAAGGGATATCTTTCCATTTTCTGATACCTTTCTTTTTTTTTTTTTTTTTGTTTGGCTTTTTCTCCGGTACCGGGAACCGAACTCACGACCTTGCGCTTGCCAGGCAGGCGCTTTGCCGCTGAGCTAAATCCCCAGCCCCTTGATACCCCTCTTTTTCAGAGATTTCAGAGATTGCTTCATTAGATTGATTCCTAGGTATTTCATTTTTTTTGGATGCTATTGTGAAAGGTATTGTTTCCCTAATTTCTCTTTCATTGAGTTTGTTATTCGTGTACAAGAAGGCTTGACTGTTGACTTTGTATCCAGCTATACTACTGAATTTGGTTATTAAATCTAGAAATCTTTTGGTGAAGTTTTCAGGGTCTTCTATTTAAAGTATTATGTCATCTGCAAATGATGATAATTTAACAACTTCTTTTCCTATCATTATTCCTTTTATTTCTTTCTCTTGTCCTAATTGCTCTAGCTAATGTTTCTAGAACTATATTGAATAAGAGTGGTGACAGTGGACATCTTTGTCTTATTCTTGATTTTAGAGAGAAAGATTTCAGTTTTTGTCCATTTAGTATGATGTTGGCTATTGGTTTGTCTTAGATGGCTTTTATCAGATTGAGATAAAGATCATCTATTACAATTTTATTTTATTTTATTTTTTGGTACCAGGAAGCAAACTCATGACCTTGCGCTTGCCAGGCAGGTGCTTGTGCCGCTGAGTTATACCCCCGGCCCAGATCAATCTTTTTTTTGTTGTTTTTTTTTTGGGGGGGGTACTGGGAATCGAACTCAGGACCTCATGCTTGCCAGGCAGGTGCTTGTGCTGCTGAGCTACATCCTGGCCCTATTCTAATTTCATGTAGGGTTTTTATATGAATGGGTGTTGGACTTTGTCAAACACCTTTTCTGCCTCTATTGACATGGTCATATGGTTTTTGTCCTTGACTCTATTATTGTGGTGTATTATATTTATTGATTTGCGTATGTTGAACCATCCCTGCATCCAAACCAGGTATTTTTTAAAGAAGATTACTCTTTTTTTGTGTATGTGATCCTAATCTTTTATTTTAGCCAAATAAAGAATTCCCAAAAGTGGTTATTGTAGATAAGATTATTTTAACGGTTGTTGCTTTAAATAAAATATTGTTGTCCAATTTCAAGTAGTCAACTACTGGGTACTTTCCCTTAGAGAGCTGAGAATAACAGAAGAGGTCTTAGGCTTAACTTACCTTTTTAGACAATAAAGATACAGGAGTAAATCCTATGAAAGAACATTTTCATAGTACAAAATTCTCTGTGTTTACCTTTTTTGATATTAAGTTCTGATTGTCTGAGTCTGTATAGATATTCTACCAATTTCATATAGTTATGTTCTTAAATCCTAGTGCATTTAAATGTTTTTTAAATCCTCATGCATTTTGCTGTCATCCTAGTGAAAAAGTAGCATATAGATAATATTAAGTCACAGATCATTCCTTAATCATTGTATTTGATTTTGTAGTTTTTTTCTTTAAATTTAAACGTAATGTCATTATGTTCTTAGTTATTTAAAACAAATAATGAAGTAAGGAGATTGATAACCTATCTAATTTTTATTATCCATCTCGATTCTATATTCCCAGAAGAAAAATAATTCTGTATTCATTTAATCTTCACAACAGTTCTGTGAGGGAATATAAATTATCTTCCTTTTACAGATGAGGAAACTGAGTATAGAGAAGTTTAGTGACTTGCTCATACAGCTAATGAATGAAAGCGATGTCTAATTTAAAACTCTATGTTATTTCCAGTTTCATGCTGGCTCCCAGCACTAACATTTATTTAATAGTTTACACTTTTCACAAATATTTTGGTATATTATAATCTAATTAACATCTCCTTTCAGAGTTCATCTTTATTTTAGATAAAATATTTACTGCTAAAATGTGCAGTAAATTTACTATTTTCAGAATAATAAAATACTGAAGCCTAAGCAGATTTTTATCCCTAGGAGTAAAACTTGTGTTTAGGGTTTTTTGTTTGTTTGTTTGTTTGGGGTTTTTTGCTTAAAGATAGTTTATTTTTTATTCATTTCTTGAGTGGGCTGTAGTTTGAAATGAGAATGAACAGAGAAGGTATAATGTAAGCCCCCCAAGTAAAGAGAAATAATGATGATGGTATTTCACAAAGCACTTCAGAGCAGATAGGGAATACACTTTGGGAGAGGTGCCACCATGTCAGATAGTTTCATTTTAATCAATCTGAGCATAGTTATGATTATTCTAGAAACTAAGAATTAGTTAATGGCAAAATCATAGAAATATATATTGTTATAGGATAATCAGCCAGTATGTTGAATTAAAGTATTTTAATTAATTTCATAGTGTCACCTAATAATTTTTTACTTTACTCATTTTAATTTATATATTTTTTCTTTTAAATAGGGAAGAAGAATTTGATGAATATTTTCAGGATTTGTTTCTATGAGACAGGAGAGAAAAACCTGCATTCCTTAACGTGAAAGCTCACTTTTAAATTTCATAAAACTGTTATCTACAAATTGCAAACTTGAATGGTTTGTCTTTGGGAATAAAAATATAGCCACTCTGAGGATGTCACATGCTTCCAAAGTTAATTAGTTATTAGAGATGCGTTTTTCTGTTTCTTATGTATCTTTTCAATTCCTTATCTACAAGTGTTTCATCTCTTCAATATATAGTATAATATTTTCAATGACATTTAAACATGGGATGGTTGGCATAATAAAGTACAAAATAAGTAACTGAGTGTCTTATTTTAAAATATAACAGTACCTCGGGGCTGGGGATTTAGTTCAGTGGCACAGTGCCTGCCTGGCAAGCACAAGGTTGTGAGTTCGATTCCCGGTACCGGAAAAGAAACAAACGAAAAAAAAAAACAAAAAAAATAACAATACCTCGGTTCATAAATGCTTCTGTTCGCAAACAGTTCAGTTTGTGAACTGAAGCATTTGGGAAAATTTTGCTTCTGTTTGTGAACTCTGCATTGGATGATGAGCACAGCTGTAGCCATCTTCCCTGCATGAACATGAACATGGCCATCTTCACCAGAATAGTGGAATGAATTAAGTTCATGAACTGAGGTGATCACTGTAGTTACCAGCAGAGAATTTCCCTCCATTAAACAGTCATTATTAATTTTACATGTATTTATCAGGTTTCTATTATGTATGAAGCACTGTGCTGGGCATTGATATAAAGGAACTATCTAGGAAATAATTGTGCAATAATTTCTAAGCTTTTATTAACAAACAGTGTTTATTAATGTTAACCTTCATGTGGAAGTCCCCTCATTTCCCGAAGGTGTTTTTTTAAAAATATCTTTACCACTTAAAGTGAATAAAGAGAACCTTGTATTTGTGAGGAAAACTGAAGTATCCAAAGCAAAGTTGATATTAGTCGTGGAATATATGTAAACACTGTTAGTTTGAACATTAATTCTTCTACATGCCTTTCTCCCACTTTTTCTTGGTGTAGTCAGTGGTGGTCAGTGGACTATTGGTCTAGAGGGTTTAGACTTTCTTTTACCTGCTCTGAAGCAAAAGTACTGTATTTGGCAGACTGGCAGCGGTGATGCATTGCTACCGTCAATTCAGTTTCAGGTGACTGGGGAGGGGAGGTTTTTTGAGCTGATCTTGGGATCAGAGATTACATAAAGCTAGTAGAATAATTTCTCATGTAGTTCCTAAAATAATAGTGATCCTAGAAGTAGAGTCTCAAAATTATTTGAAGTAACAGAGGAATAGCATTCATTTATATCTACTGAGTGGCAGCCATTACTTGGTGGCAAGATAAAGTTGTGAACAAGACAGATCAAAAACGTCCATCCTCCTGAACTTTACATTCTAAGGTGAGAGGGAAAAGTAACTTGTAAAAGTATTAGCAAATGGTGATTTATGTCTTGGCTGTTCAAAATTGATCATTATGTTGTATATGACAAGAGTACTTGAGGTTCATGATCTTGAATTTATTATAATTTAGATATTTTTGACAAAACACTAGCAAAATGTGTGGTATTTATTAATGTTTATTGTTTTCTAATTTTGTCTGTGGTTACAGATAAGTAAAGGAAGAAAATATAAATTTCTCTGATACTCAGACGTATACCATGTAATGGAAGTCATTGATTATCCATACTCGCTCACACTCTCTCTCCTAGGGAATAAACCTGGACACCTTGATGGGGAACCTTTTAGAATTTTCAGTGGTAACAAACAGTCTGCTATGGCACGAGTACCTAAGTTTGTCACACTAATCGTAGAGCCTCGTAAGTGCTACTACTAAGCTGCATCCCAGTCCCGTTGTTTGTTTCTTGAGACAGGATCTTACTAATTTACCTAGGCTGGCCTAATTTTACGATCCTCCTGTGTAACTCTCTGGAGTAGCCGAGATTATAGGTATGTGCCAGCATACCCAGCTCTTAGTTTCTCCTCACAATTTAATCTTTAGAATGTCTGCTGGATACTTCTGTTAATAATTTTTAAAAAGTAGTCTGGGTTGAAGTTTTTCTAGTCTGCTTTTGATAAATGAATTTTCCACCTTATCAAATCATTCTTCTAATGATGATTCATACTCAGCAGAGTATGAGCTTATTTAGCTTGCATTGGTAGTATCCAGTAGTGTCTTATAAACTGATAATTCTTTCCATGAGAAGAATAGTTCTTAGTGTTAAAAATTGTATTTATGCATAACAGAATAATTGATTTTAGACTTTGAAGGGGAAACATAAGACAGTGATAGAGTTTTTATGAACTGCCATAAAAGATTTGGTCTCCATCAGTCCGTTAAGGCAAAAATGTAAAGAAATGCTAAGCAGTTCAGAAGGAATAAGATTTGATATCCTTTTTTCTTTTGTTTTCTGTACTGTATTTATATACCTTAATACATTCTATAATGTATTTACTCTAACATTGGCATGTGAATGTCAGGAAGTGGTGAACTTTTTAGTTCAGGAAGTAGTTTGTGGTATGAATCACAAAGATAAACGTTGTGCATTAAATACCCCCTCACCTTCCAATCATATACTGAAATACTAATCATCTGTGCCACATAGCGCCATTAATGAGGTGTTTAAGATTAAAATGAGGTCATATGAGTGGACCCTAATCCATTGGGTCTGGTGACCTTGTAAGAATAAAACTAATATACAAACACAGGGGTAACCATGTGAGGACACAGGAAAAAATGGCCATTTATAAACCAATTGAGGCTTCACAGAAAACCAACCCTGACAACATCTTGATCTTGAAGTTCTGGGTGATAGCCTCCACAGTTGTGAGAAAATAAATTTCTGTTGCCCAGTCTGGTACTTTCTTTTTTTTTTAATAGCCTTAGCAAAGCAAATAAGTACAATTAATAACGTGTTAAAATCTGTGACTGGTTGTAGGATTGTATATTTTTTATATTTACAAAAAATTGGCACCAAAAGCATCTGTTTTTGTCTTATTTTGCACTTCTGTTCAACTTTATTTTACCCTCACATTTTTCAGACCAGCATTACATATTCTCTTTGATAGTCATGGCAATTTTTCTAAAGATTCTCTTATTCTTTTACTTAATAGTTTGCTGAATGAAATGTACTGAAGTTCTTTTGAATGTTTGCTATTTCTCTTCACAACTAAGATGACATTTAAATTTTAGCCCAGTTGGATTATTTTACAACATTAAGCACGTTTTAGACTTTTTGTTATCACCACCACCTCCTGAATCTTGGGCAGCTAGTTAGAAACAAAGAAAAGAAAAAGAAAAAAGCAGTATTACTAGAGTTAGTGTAAAGACAGTATTTTTATTCTAATACTCTCAGTGTCCCCTTTCAGCCTAATTAGTAAATTAAGCTACAGGAAGCACTGAGGGTTTTACCACTGAAAAACAAATTTTTATTCACAATTCTTTTATTTTTAAAAATATCTGTTAAGTGGCTAGAAAATAAACAACTCACTGTCTCACTGAGACCATGTGATACCTGGGAATTTTAGCTAGATGCACAAAGCTTGATGCCTTAGTTCTCTGTGTTCTGAGTTCATAGAGAATTCTCTGTAGTAGGAAAAGTAAATTTTTATGCAAATAAGTAAATTTTTATGCAAATAAAGGGTAGATGATCTCTATTATACTGGAAAATTAAAATGTCAGGAGCCACTTAACACATAGTATCTTCATTGTAAATTTGCGATGGAGGTAAAATTTGGTAGTACTTTACTATTAGTACCCTTGCTTTTAACATGTACATCAGGTCTTATACTTTCCTATTTGAACCCCTGTACTAATTTTGGAAGACTGAATTTTTAGGTAGGCCTCAAACAGTGCTTGCACTACCAGCTTACACTGCTGGCTTACACTGACAGCTGCTTACACTGCCAGGTTCGTATGGTCTTTTGGCCTCATTGTTCCCTAGACTCCAGTTCTATGTATTAAAATTATTCTATTACACCAAACTTGTTCCCACTTCAGAGAGGTTAAGCACGTTGTCCAGAATTCTACAACTAATGCAGAATATCAGGTGAAATGTATATTCTCGCTTATTGTGGATCCTACAGATTGTATGATTTCATATCCTGAAACCACTAATTAACTTTTTATAATTAGCATTCTGCTGCAGGAAAGGTGGTCTCCTGTTTGCATTTGATTTTATATGCTTTTGTCGTGCAAAGTTCAGTCCTGCGTACTTCTGGCTACTTTACACAGAATGAAAGATTCCATCTAACCTTTTCCATTCATGTTTCCTTCTTCCTGCTTTTTCACCTCCTCGTCCATTATCTTCACCTTTGCATCATACTCATCAGCTAGGGATTTCCATTCCACTCGATTATTCTGAAGGCCATTCAGCATAGGTGTGATTTCTTTGTGAAACCGTGAGAACTCCTAGAGAGAATTTTAGGTCAGAAACTACTTAAATCATACGATTAATACTCAGTGTTTTTCGTATGCAGAAAAGGCACTGCAAGGTGTGGTGTAGTCTTAGTGCTGTTAGAACGAGCAGAACTCGGTGCCTCTGCAGCTTGGAAATACAAGTGCTATCTCCTGCTTGCCTACTTAGGTCTGTCTGAGTGGTTCACCTCTGAGGTCTCACACCTTTTATTCTACTCAGAATGAGATTAGGTCAAACCTCAAAGTACTGTGGAAAATGACACCTCTAAAGGTTTTCCCAGTGGTTGCAGTTTGAAAGCAACATAATATCCTAAAGATTTAAACAGTTCATGTGTTGAAGGCTTTGTTCCCTGTGCAGCAGTGTTCAGAGGTGAGGAACCCTTTGTTGCGGGAGTGAGGGAGATTCAGTCATGAGAACTTTGACCTCATGAATGGATTCATCCATTTGTGGATTCATAACTTTCTGGATTATGGGAAGGTGCTAGAAACTTCAGGATGAGGAGTCTAGTTGGAGGAAGTAGAACATTGGGCGTGTGCCCTTGAAGGGTGCGTTTTATCCCCACCCCCTTCTCTCTCTCTGCTTCTTGGCCACCGTGAAATGAGAAGTTATGCTCTATCAATGGCCTCCCTGCCATAAAGTTCTAATTTGTTACAGCCCAGATACAGCAGAGCCAAGGGAACATGGGCTGAAACCATGAGCCAAAACAAATAGGTTTATTTTCTCAGGTGTTTTGTCATAGCAGTGGACATCTAACACACCCACCTTGTATACAAAAGTACAGACAAAATCAATAAATCCAACTTGAAGCTTAGGTAGTTCATCTTTTTTGTTTCTGTCCATCATAGGCTAGAAAGAGAAAGAAATCTTTTAAAGATGCTTTTTCAAGGTTAAGTGAACAAAATACACTGATTCATACTGATAATTTTTAATAAATAGTGCATTCTATGTTAAGGTCTTTACAATAGGTTGTTGCTGCAGCACTGTTCTTTCCAAATCTCCTTGTTCCCAAAATTCATTTGCAACCAGAAGTGCTACCTGCAAAGAAGAAAGGCTTTGTTCATTAGAGAACTTGCATTTTCTTAGTATGAGTGACATTTAAGGGTGGAGTTTACAGTCAGTGCTTGAGTGGTGTCACACCATATGCTTTCATTTTTTTTGCACAGGAATCAAACTCAGGACCTGGCACTTGTCAGGCAGGCACTGTGCTGCTGAAGTATATCCCCAGCCTACACCATTTTAAAAAGATGCCACTCACAGATCAGATTGAAATGGGAAATGTGGACTATTTCTTTTTACTTCAGTGTTCTAATTCTGGGCTTTTGAATTGCTACCAATTCGCAACCATAAAGAGGGGGAAATGGAAGGATGCTTAGTGCTTCAAGCTCCCAGTCTTTCCAAGTCCTTTTTCCTATACCTCTAGCTTGTATAAGTGACCAGCATGTACAAAGATTAGTATATATCTTTCCTTGATTACAGTGTGAAGATATTCAAAGTTAATTTCTATCATTTAAAAAAAATCACATTCAGTGTCTTACATGGATGACATAAACCAGACTTGGCAAGAAGGGTAAGAAGTAACTAACCTTTTCCTTTCAAGCACTCACAGGCTAGTGGACAGTCATGAGTCAGTGTGGTAAGTGCCACAGACAGAGGAAGGGAGGACAGGTAAGTTTCATGAATAACAGAGGATGCATTTGTGCTGTATTGTCAAGAGTAAGTAGCGGTTTGCCAGGTAAAGAGGAGAGGCAGGTGCAAAGGGAATGTCTAGAGGTTGTGCGAATAGTGTTAGAATGTGTAGCAATGACATAGGGAGGAGTGGTGGGAATGTCCCTGTAATGTGAGTTATAGACAGGTAGTGAACTGTGTGCTCTGCTGGGAAATTTGAACTTGATTGTCCGGGCCAAAGGTTTGTATTCTTGGAGAGCTAGGGTTCCTCTCAAGTGTACCAGGGGCCCAAGAGGATGGAGGCCAAGAGAGATCAAAGGTAAAGTAGCTTTGCTTTTTTTCTCTTTCATAAAGTAATTTTTGCACAACTTTTGTGGGGGGAAATAGACTATGTTTCTTTAAAAAGATTGAAAATATCTGGCAGTGGGGAATTTAAAGGCTTTTAAGTAGTGGTATGACGGAGCAGAGTTCTGCACATAATCCCAGCGGTGATCAGAGCATGGGCTGGGGACTTGAAAGGGGAGCCCACCACCAGAGTGCTGATCAAAGCCTGGAGAAGAGTCTTAATCACGTCCATGACAAGCATGGGAGATGGAAATTGAAACTGAGGAGATAAGCTGAAGTAAGCTCTCAGGTTTCCTGCTTAGGTGATGGTAAAGATAAGGAAATAGGAGGAGGAGCACATGTCAAACTGAATAAGCATTTGGTTTTGGACTTGATGGTGATGGATTTCAGGGCATACTACCCCCCAAATATTTTATTTTGTTTTTATTTTTTATTTTTTTGTCTTTTTGAGACAGGGTCTCACTATGCAGTTCAGGCTGGCCTTGAGCTCACTTTGTAACCCAGATTGGTCTCAAACTCACAACGATCCTCCTGCCTCAGCCTCCCGAGTGGGATTACAGGCGTCTACCACCACACCTGGCTTCCCCCAAATATTTTAAACAGAAAGAATTTAAAGAACTGAAGAAGCAGGAAGGTGACTGTACCATCCCCCTCGTTCCCCCATGAAGCAGGTCATAGAACCTAGGAAGGATTATTTGACTTTCCCCTGAAGCCAGTTAAAAGGGCCTCATCTGCAGGAAAGAGGCCAAACAGAGATGCCAGAAATAATCTGAAAAATAGGCTTTGCTAAGTTTCCCCAGTTTATTACCATCTGTCATAGCCCTTTGTCCAGTTCTATTTCTCCATGACTCTTCACTTCATCAAGCCTAGCAAGTTTAACTGCTTCTTATGGATTTCATTTCCTTATAAAGGCTCCCATGTCACAACTGAATACAGTTGGGTGCTTTTTCTTTGTTAATATCTTTGTTAAAAGAGCCCAAAGCCATGAACTTAGAATGGGTAGGAGAAAGGTATTTTTCCTACCCTGCAGTGGGCTCCATTTATTTTACCTTTACGGACACTATCTAGGTTTATAGTTGAACACAGATAATTCTGGTCTGACTTCTTCTTAAAGTTTTCCCTGGAAGTTTTAGAAGATAAAAATAGAAGCTTCTTTCTTCCAGTTAGTAAGAAGTAAGCCTTAGACCCGTGCTCCCCAAGGTGGCAGAGGTACAGCCTTACCCCGAGCCTCAGTGAGTGCTTTCCAGTAACTGACACTGCACTGAAGAAGAGACTGGAGCAAAGCCAGCCACAGCAGAGGAGAGCACAAGTGATTCATCCTGGTCCTGTTCCGATGTAGCACATCTATTAAAACACTCAGGCATTCTCTGAATAATTTTGCATAATTTTTACACCCTATTCAATGGTAAGGGATTCTTCCCAGAAAGCTGTGTTTTTGTCTTCTTCCCTCCTCTCCCTCCCTTCTTTCCTTCATTTTCATTTCGAGGAATTGAATCTAGGGTTTTGGCACTGAGCTACATCCCTTCCCCCTTTTTGAGACAGGGTTTGCTAAGTCACTAAGTTGCGCAGACTGGTCTTAAACTTCTAATCCTCTTGCCTCAGCTTCTGAGAGTGCTTGGATCACAGGCATGTGCCACAAGAAAGCATTTTACTTCCACTTTCCAATGTTTTGCCTTATTCTAGGGCCTAATCAACTGACCTATTGTCTCACTGACACTTATGATTTTTCAGAATACAGTTCTGAAGTCACCAGAGATCTTCACGTGGACTTTTGCATGAGATTTAGGCAGCATCTCAGAGTATGGCAGAAAAGAAAGTGCAACTAGACTTGCCTGGCTTTGTACCTCCCAGGGTTTGGTTATAGCAGATAGGTCACATGCGGTCATCATCATTGCCCTTAGGAAACAAAGAAAAATTAAAGTAGAAAGAGATACAAAAGATGTTGTTTTTGCAAAAAGAGAAACAATACAGAGTACTCACATGATAACCTCTTTTTTGGTTGGATCAATGGTTACATATTTGATGGCCTCCTCTTCAGTTTCCATTTGTTCACAGGCATCAACAATTTTTTGAAACATGGTTCTCTTCCTAGAAAAGACACAGCGGTGCTACAATTTTCTCATACAAAAGCAGAGGGAAAATATCTTAGCTATGTGCCTTTCATATTTCACGTTCCCACTTTGCTTTGGCACCTAGCAATTGAGGCTGGGTGATAAGGAAGCAGCCAGTGACTAGCTTTGGAATGGGAAAGGCTCGAGGCAGAAAAAGCACGAAGTACAATGGGGCAAACACAAATAAGTTTTAATGTATTAAAACTAAAAATTACAAATTAGAAAGGAGACTATAATACAAACATAAAGGCCACAGACTGATAAAATCGCAGCACATATAACCAGCAAAAATTTAGAACCCAAAATAATGGATGCTTAATCTCACCAATAATCAGGAAAATACGCATTTGAACAACAAGATACCATCTCATAGTCAATAGTTTAACAAAATAAGCTTTTAATGTGCAGGTATTACATATGTGGGGTCACAAGAACTTTATTCACTCCTGGTGGAAGGTAAGTTGGTACAACTACAAAACTACAGTTTTGCAAAGAGGTACAGCATTTACCAAATGCAGCATTCTCATCTGCATTTGTGTACCTTAGATGCACAAGCATATAAAATGTAGCACTGATGAATAACTGGAAACAGTTTAAACATCCATGCCTAGAGGAATGGGTAGGATAATTTTGATATATTTAACAGCTGAGTAGTCCATACAGTTGAAACACAGGAATTGGCCTTCCACTTACTAGGAAGGGTAAACCTTTCAAATATAATGTCGCATGAAAAAAGCAAATTTCAGAAAGGTAGGTATAGATAGTATGATATATACAAAAATTAAAAACACACTTGACAGTGCCATATAAAAAATACAAGTGGAAAAGATGAATACACATCAACATTAGATGGTGATATCTTTGGGAGAAGGGAAAGAAATTCCTTGGTAGGATAGAGACAGTACCTTAGTCTCATCACTCACTTTTTTTTTCCACCTTAAAGAATGAGATCAGAGGGAAATGCAGCAAAATTGAACATTGATTAAACCTGGGTATGGATACTTGTCTTTATATCTTAACTATTTAATAGCTATTTTTTTTATTAAGGATCAGAAACGCATAATTTGCCAATGCTCAAGTAATTGAATATTTGTACCTATTAATTATCTCACCTTGTTCTAATCATTATTCACCAAGCAACTTTACATTTCACTTACAAGAAAATGTGTGAATACCTGAAGTATCTGGCCTCCTTGGTAATATCATTATTAGGCAGACACATAACTTAGTCTGTGAATTTGATCCATGTGCATCAGAATCACCAAGATCATTCAGCTTCCAGGCACTGGCAGGATCAAATTTCTGAGCTTGAAACCACATACCACATTTTGGACCAGGGTATACAACCAAGAAAAAAGCCACCATATGAGGTTCTTGACATGACTTTTCTCACAATGCACAAATGAATTTCTTAATTTAAATTTCTTCTGAGAACAAGCTATGCAACATGAGGGGCTTAAATTTCTAAATATGTTTCCTGATGTCTAGTAAATTCATTGTCACCTGGAGGATATTCTCATTGATATTCTGAAAGGAAAACAAACTTGTGTGCATATGTGTGAATAAATGCCTTTTAACCTTAATGCAGCAGATAATTCATGGAAGCAGAAGCACACAGACATGAGGGTTTCTGTTTTACAGTTAATACGTACTTGAAATATAAAGCCAGGTCAGTTGCTATTATTGCGACCTCCAATAGATGAATAACTGTTTCAAACTGCCGCTTATTTAGGTTCTGGAAGATGTTTAAACTCTGTAAGATGAAAATAAATCTACAATAAAGTGCAATAATTAATTTACCTTTGGTTCAAAAAACAAACCAACCAAACTATGCCCTAGGCCTTCCAACACTTACTTGTTTTCAGTTTTTATACCAAACCCTTCTACTTAGAGCAAAGCAATTTAAACTATAAACTAGAATTAGCAAATATGAAGGTAATCAGTTCCTAAGATTAAACAATATGTTTTTGCAATAAATATTAGTGATTTCTACCAGAAGCATTAAAAATTTGCTTGTATGAATTGAGGCAGTTTAAGAAACAATTTCTGGGAGGTACGAGTAATAGAAGTCTTTCAGAAACTGCAAATTACTAGTACTCATGAATGTGTAGAAAATAATGAAGCTCTTCCATGTAGCTCTTTCAGCACATTCCTGCAGTAATATTTTACAGAGGCTTAACTAGACCTTTCTTCAAAGAGTTTATTAATAATTAATAGTTCCCTCCCATATTTGTTAGCTTCATTTTTTAGTGTCCTGGGAAATCAGAATATAAAACTGGGAATGGTTGTTAAAAGCCCTGATATTCCAAACAGACCGTTTTAGTCATATTGGCCAAAGAACAGAGGTGATGAAATTGATAGTGCCAAAACAAAGCAAAACTGCACTGGAAGAAAGAGGAGATAGTTTGTTAACCTGTCTAAACATAGAAGTAGCACAGTGTAGCATAAAATACTGGACTAAACAGTTCTTATTACCTACCAGATTTAAGTGCTTTATGAATACTCTTAATGTCCTTACAATAAGCCATGGTATAGAGAGGTTGAATAACTTGCTTAGGTTAAACAGACAGAACGGAAGTTGTACCTGGGTGCATGCAGCACACCTACAGAGTTTGTGCTCTGTCTCTACACTACACTATCTCTCACCAAGGAGCTGAGGCTCAGTTCCTGGTTTTGCCACTTGATAGTTGTATGGTCCTGGACACTGCCTTTAACTTCTGTGTTTTGTTTTCTCAAATGGAGTTGATAACAGATACTCTGCCTAACTGCCTAGGACTAAGTCAGTGCTTACTAAAGATAGATCTGTGAAGCACTGAGTCAGATGAAGTCACGGAATGCATTTCAAAAATCCAATTGCTGTCAAATTGATTACTGCCCTGTCAGTATTATAGTTATATAAAGTAGGTTAGAACAGAGCTACAAACCCCAAACCAAACATGGCTCTCAGTCATTGTCAGTGATTGAAGTATTAGAATGCAACTAAACAAGTCCTTATTTATATACTGTGCTATGCAAAATGCAAATCTTCACTCATATCATCTTTTCTATAACACCTTCTGAAACAAAAAAAATAGTATTTTATGAAGCATATATAAATAAAGGAAGAAAAACTGTGAATTGCTTTGTTAATACAATAAGTTAATGACAGCAACTACAGTTAGCCTTAAGATTGATTCAAGCCATGGTCGTGGAACCCTCCAAATTACAATAAATGAAAAGGATGAATTGTCTGGATCAAACCAATTTCTTACTTGGTTCACAGCAATCCCTTGGAGCATATAAATCCAGAATCTCAAACAAACTTGGTTCAAGTTATTTCACCCTGGTCTATATTGGCCAGAGAAGCAAAGGGAAGTGGGGCATTGACACTTAATCCCTTTTACCTGCCTGGGTGTTAAACTTGATCTCATCTAAAAGGCCAAGAAGCTGGGCATGGTGGCGCAGGCTTGTAATCCCAGCACTTGGGAGGCTGAGGCGGGAGGATCACTGCGAGTTTGAGGCCAGCCTGGGCTACAAAGTTTAATTCAAGGCCAGCCTGAACTGCATAGTGAAACTCTGTCTCAAAAAGGAAAAAAAAAAAGTCCAAGAAGCGATTGTCTTTAGATGGACGGTGGCCGTCCCTTTGGACTGATGGTTACCTAGTGGCCATCGTTTACGTGAGTCAATATCTTCATGTATTCGCTGATGTACATTGTTATGATCCCAAAATAAGATGCATCACAGGATTATTCAGCCACATACTTTGCAGATTTGTAACTTTTTCGCTTCTTTGGTACTGAGGATTGAGCTCAGTGCCTCACAGATGCTAAGCAAATGCACTACCACTAGGCTATATCCTTGGCCTTTCAATAATATTTAAAACTAGTCTTGATTTCTGTACTAAGAAAAAAAAAAATGGGCGTGAAGGCAGCTGGGAACGCATGAAAATGCCTTAAATTTTTAGGCACATCGGTAGTTATAGCACATGAAATCATTTTAAAAAGCCACATAGACTGATGAATACAAAGAAACAACCCTTTAGGACAGAAACATCCTTTCCTCTACCAAACGTCATTTGTGCAGAGTACATAATCGACAACCACTGAACAAACCAATCAATATTTATTATGCAACAGCTATTCTAGTGCATATTGCTTATATTAGTAAACATGGACACCTGTTGCTATTGGGTAAATACACATGTGTGTGCAAGGAAAAGCTACTTAGAGAGGCAGAGAAATAATACAGTGTTGCGCTCCATTTAAGTCATGTCTTTTTCCCGTCCAAAACAGCTGGTTTCCATCAAGCAAAAATGGTCTATATTCAACTTTTCAGTACTGCTTCCTTTGTATGTAATGTAAGGCACCTAAATTTTATTCTTTCTCCTCTCACTCATTTTCATGTTCATCTAAAATCATCAAGTCTTCAAATTTAAAAACATTTTCTCAATCTTACATTCTTTTATATTTGAATTTTTTTAACCCAAGGTTCTTAAAAGCTTCTAATTGTGTTTAAGTTTGTGGACATAAATTCATATAAAACATCTTGTTTCTGTTTTTGGATTGGTTGCTAGAATGCTCTTGACCAAATTTTGGCCGATGTCTAATAAATGTTTGTATATCACTGCGTACATTTTGGGTCTATTTGGGGTTTAGCTAATTTTTCTTATTTCTCCATTAGCTTTTATTTTCTTTATCTTTCATATTGTATGTATTTTGGGAAAATCCATTAAACACTTTTGGAACATATTTGGGACTAAACATACACATAAAACTTTTTTATTATTGGTTTAAAATAAGAAAAACACTCAGTGATGCTTTAATTAGAACAAGAGATCTCAGGATGTGCACCACACACAGCCTGGGGAAGACTGTCCCTCCCGGCGTGTGTGACACCACATACAGCAGCAGATGAGGAGGGAGAAAGCTGCACCAGCACATTTGCACTGACTCCCACTACTGGGTCTCCTAGGCCGAAGAGAAGCCCATAGGGAAGCAGACAGCGATGACCAGACCCCCACACAGAGAGGCCTGGAGATCACAAGCTTTGCACATGTGAGCCTTGCCAACTTCTGAAAAATCAAAATTAAAGAGGTGTGTTCCCCAGACAAGAGAAACAGCATTGGTGAGAGATTATTTAAGACAAGAAAGTGTCAGCTAAGGATTTTCCCAGCTCATTTCTGCCTTTCCCTGACAGGATTCCAGCAGATGTCTGGCTCTATTCAAGGATAAGTAATTTCCAAAAAGGAACCATTTGTATAAAGACCACACAACATGAAATAAGCTATAGATTTGGAGCAATTCCAACCAAAATACCCACAAGTCTGAATACATGTGTTTGTCTGTAAACTGACAAATTGATTCTACAATTCACATGGAAATGCAAAAGTTCAAAGGGTACTAGACTCATAAAAGCTGAATTAAGAACAAACAACAGGGGAAATTATAAAGCAAAATATAAATTTTATAAATATATATCATAACAAATATGAAACAGAGGTGAAAATGTGGGAATAGTATAAATATCCTATTTGCTTTGTATTTCATAGCAGGAAGTTAACAGCATAAAGTTAAAAGTATAGTTTACAAGTAAATGCTTAAATGCTATAGATTTCTCGTAAGTTTTCATAATCATTTTAGACGAGTCTTTAAGAATTAAAAATTCATGATAATGATACAATTATGTAAAATTCTGCAAGTCCTTCCATTTCAAAATATCTTCTGTTAAACTTAAGTAAATTGTTTAATGCTTTTATTATTTATTTATGTATTTATTTATTCATTCATTCATTTTGTAGTTTAGGAATTGAACCCAGCCCTTAACCTAGGCAACTGCTCTACTACTGAGCCATAGCCTCAGCTATTGGCTTTATTTTAAGATAAATAAAATTCTACTGAGCAATGAAAAGGAATGAATCACTGACATGGGCAAACCTTAAAATTATTATTCTGAATGAATGAAGCCAGCACAAAAGAATGCTTCCAGTGTAGCTGCGCTTAGCAGAATCTAGCAAATACAAACAAATCAGAACATTTCAGTGGTTGTCTGGGGCTGGGGTGGGGAGGGGCGTGCACTGTAAGGGCACAAGCGATTGCCATTGGGGTGACAGAAATATGTTTTCCCAGGTGTACAACACGGTAAAACCTCCTGGAATTAGGATGCAGTCAGGCATGTGGTGCACTTGAGAAGCTGAGGCAGAAGGATCTCTGCAGGTTCAAGGCCCACCTGAGGTATAGAGTGAGTTCGAGTCCAGCCTGGACTACATGGAAGGCTCCTGTCTCAGACCCTCCACAATAAATAAATACATACATAAATAAATAGATGCAGTACGCATATATGACTTTGTGATGTTGATTGAAAAACATAGCTCTGACTCCAAAAATAGCTCATACTATGATCTCATTTTCCAAAAAGCTTTGTCTCCACGCTGTCTGTGGATATTCACAGGCTGACTGCAGTGAAGTTCTCAGAATGTTAATGAAATTCTATTGCTGGGTGGGAGGATTTAAAGCCTCATTCTTACTATATTTGTCTCTGAAATTTCCCTATTACTTGAATTTTTTAATGGGTAAATGAAATTACTACAACAATCTTAAGTCATCAATTTTAAAATATGTAAGTGTGCAGTGTTCCATTTTTCCCTCGGAGCGTTGTGTTTGAAATGAAAGAAGTGCACCCAAGTAAGACGGGGGCCGTCCCGGTTCCTTTCCAGCCAAGCCAGCGCCTGCGTGCCCAGCTGGTCTCAAGAGCTCAACAGAGAGAGGGGCTATTTTTGTTTTTCTCTCTTAAAATGCTAGTAAAATATGAATTCCTTGTAGCACACCAAAACAGATGGAAATGGTTTGAATTCATTCCGCTTGGGGAGTGCAGGTGAGTGGGAGCCGGAAAAAGCACTGGCAGTTCTAATCTTCAGTGCAGTGCCTGCAGTCGCCCACAGGAAAAACATGTTCTTGTTTCACGAGTGATTGTATACAAAGTATTCAATTTTTCTTCACTATTTCTTTGAATAACATGAGACAGACTGATAGGGTATGTAAGAAAAAGCACAAATGTAAATGATATGATTTGTAAGTAGATGTCCTAAATCATAACAACATTCTATCATTTATGCTGAGCAATTTGTTTATAATATGAAAATTAAAATGTCTGAATAATGTCCACAAATGCCAAAATTACTGGATAAATCCCAAAGATTTCCATTATTTAAAAATATTTAGTGAGTGATTTTCTTCATGGAATAAAAGAACTACATTGTCCCCTCAAAATACACAAACCATATCTGGTCGCTAAAAATGTCTTCTTTAATGTTCAATTTGCTCATAAACAGTCTGTGACTGCATTACCTAGCAACTCTATTGACAAGGCTTTAAATGTCTGCAATTAACAGGCCAGCTGTATTGTAGAGAAGTCCTTGAAAAGATGGTATGGATTACTGAGAAGCAATATTCCTTTTTAGAAAAAATAACAAGTCTTTGTATGGCCATCAAAGCCAGTTTAGACTACAGTGTAAATAACATTAAAAAATTAAGATGGAAAACTGTACCTCTGTTGTAAACTGTTTTAGTCCAGAAGGGAAAACATAAATACTGGGAGCCTTCCTGTGTTAAACATTTAGTTATTTTGCTGCAGTTTTTAATTGTATGTTGTTTCCATAAGTATGTGTATAATTAAATGGTAGGCTACATTTGATGCTACCTCACTGTGGAGCTACAGACACAGTAGCGTGTAAAACAAATTCTTAGAAACCAAAGATTCTTCTATAAGCAAATTGTCAATGACAACAAGTTAGGCAATGAAAATTTTTTCTTCCCTTTCTGAATTACTTTCAGTCCTACTCTTTTTAATCATCCTAAAGCAGATATTATCTATATTGTGAATTCTGCTGTTGGAAATTCTGTCTGCACATCAGAATGGAAGTCTGGTTCAAATGCAGATTTCCAGCCCCGACTCTAAGGCACCTGCTCAGTAAATGGGAAATGAAACCCTGGATCTGTGGTTTTAAAAGCCCTCTTCTCCTTGATAAACTGATGACTGTGAAGAAGTTGGTCTGGGTACCTATGTCTGAGGACTGGTGTCTTGGAGTCAAACAGATGCTATGGCTTGAATACGGTTTGTTCCCTCTAAAATTCATGTTGAAATATGATTCTCAAAGTGAGGGTTTTGAGTGATGGTTAGATCTTTAAGAAGGGGTTAGATAGATCATTAACAGGGACTAATGCCTATCCAAGAGTGGGTTGATTCTCACAAGCAGGTTGCTAAAAAAAAAAAAGGTTGCTTTTAAACACTCTTACGTTTTGTGTTTTCTGCACACACACCTCTGCTTTCCACTTTAGGGCCCTACCAGAAGCTGAGAAGATGTCACTGCTTGATATTGGGCTTCCTGGCCTCCAGATCCATAACCCTAAATAAACCTCTATGCTTTAAAAATTATCCAGTCTCAGGTATTTTGTTACAGTAACAGAAAACAGAGTAAGACTCAAGGTTAGTGCTTTGCCAAGGGCATTGCTGATTGAGAAATGCTACAACAGGGTTAGCATGGACATTGTGTTGGGTCCTCATCAACCACACTTATTAAAACTGCTCAAGTTATTTTTTTCTTTCTACTTTTCTTCCCAGTTATTCTGCCTCACAAGATGTTCCCACTTGGCTGTGTGGACCATCTTGGCTTTTCCTTAATTAGAAGAATTTAATGTTATCTGTAGAGTTGAACATATTTCTGTATATGCCCTGAGACTCCAGACGATGTATTTATCCTAATTAGCATGTAATTCTAAACAAGTTCTCCACCTGTGACAAGACAGTATTCCCCTCAATGCTGGTTTGGAACTTTCTTAAGAAAATGTAACTAAGGGGCTGGGGATTTAGCTCAGCGGCAAAGCGCCTGCCTGTCAAGCGCAAGGTCGTGAGTTCGGTTCCTGGTACCGGAGAAAAACCAAAAAAAAAAACAAAAACAAAAAAGAAAATGCAACTAGATTACATCCATGATTTATACACATGCCTCTATATACTCCCTAAATAAAACTGATAAAGAAGAATGACCACCCCCTGTAGACTGTCAGTAGTGTACAATATTTTTCAGTTGTAATGAATTCAACAAGTTTAAAGCCACTTCCTGCCTAAAGCCATCTCTGACCTTTTTGTCTTCTCCAGTGAATGTGGTCTCTCCCTTTGGGACTCCAGAGCATGACCCAGTGCCTCTCTGATGGCAGGGGTCCACTTCTGTCTTATACCCTGACTCATCCTCATCTCCACTACCAAAGCCTGACTTTCTCTGAAGTACACACCATACTCAATAGTGTATTATTCTCCATAATGAAGAAGAAAGTCAGTGGTCACATAGCCTCTTTTCCCTGTTACATTTATTTACATATGCTTCAGAGTTCACCGAGCCCTTTCACATCCACTATATGCTTTTCATTCTTTTCCCAGTGGACTCACAGAGGTTCTATGACTCTCTGTGGCCACCTTTTTCCAAGCTTCTTCTAGCTTGGCAGTTTAAAAATACTGTAATCTAGTAACTTCTGTAAATCAACTTAGATAAGGGTATAAATGTCCAATGCTGTAACCCAGGGCTTCTCCATTTCCAAGCATTTTCTATGGATGAGTGCTCTGATCGGAACCCACAAGGTACCCAAGAAAAAGGCTCACATACCTCATCCTGCAAGAGTGTCTTACTGTACTCCAGGTGGTGCCTCTCCAAAATAGAAGTCCCATGAAGCTTGGCTAGTGGAGATATGGATCTAGGAGAGAAAGGATGTACTATGACTTCAGCTGTTTAGAGATTACTCATAGTCCATACAATATAGAATCTTTACTATCTCAGAATTCTTGTTTCATGTCCCATTTCCCTCCCTATCCAGGTCTTTGAAAATGGTCAAGAATTATATGGAAATGTTTTTTAGATATAAAGGTGAGAATATATTATTTTTAGGATAAAAATACAATTTATTGAATGCATGAATGATTGTTTACTCTAGGAAGTTTGATTCATCCTTAAGTTCCCTGAGGTTTTTTATGGTGGTGGATTATGACTTACAAGAGATGTAGCAAACCTATGGAAGTCCATACATTATTTCATAGAGAATGTTCATTAAGAATTCCCAGGAATGAGAAGAAAATTACTATAAAGTAATATTTCATTCCTCCCCCAAGATAGTGAGAAAAATGTAAACTTTCCCATATGTTAATTGGTTAAATTATAGCTTTATGTGAGTGGGGACCTCACCCTGTGACACCCTGATTTTCTTCAAAGCCTCCTGTCCCAGAAAGAGAAAGCTACACTGAAAATATAAAGGAAGATAAAATAAAAAATAGAAAGAGGGTAAGGCCAAAGGTCTACACGTGGGAAGAATTTGTCATGGAAATAGGGACTAAATAATTTTAAGGAAAGAAGAACTCAGAAACACAGAAACGTAGATGACAGCCTTAGAAAAGTTTCATTTTACGTAATAGAGGGCAGAACCATAAGGAGTGGAGGACTCATTGGCTGGGTGTGAGAACCCAAACACACAGGTTAAGGAAAAATTAGATCATGTCTGATGAATATAATAATTGATCATTAATAAATATGTGAATACTTGCTGTGTGTCAGCATGGGAGGTTTTCAAAAAATGAATCAAATTTAATTCCAGTTAAAAGAGAGTATAATATTTAATTCTTTTAGGTCTAAAACAATACTTGATTATCATTTTAACAAATCTTTGAATACTTACCCTTGTGTCAGCATTGGATATTTTTAAAAAATGAATCAAGTTTAATTCTAGTTAGAAGGGAATGAAATACTTCATTCTTTTTAAGTTTAAAAACATTAGTCAAATATGTAATTGGGAAGCTAGATATTTTCCCGGTCTCAAAATAATGCTTAACATATTACTTATTACTCACAAAGGAGAAAATATTCCTTTACATAAAGAGAGTTTGTGGAATCTCCTATTAATAGTTTAACATAACTTCATAGCTAATGGATAAAATGATACCATGGCCTCCAGTGGGGTGTACTGAGAAAGATACAGACCATCTAAAGAAAGTTTCTGCAAAAAATGTTCACCCTGAATTTAATAATCAAGAAACAATTGGATAAATCCAAACAGAGGGACATTCTGCAGAGTAATTGGCCCAGACTCTTCAAAAACATCAGTGTCTTGAATGATGCAAAAAGCTTCAGGAACTACTCCAGACTAGAGGAGACAAAAGATAGTTGGCAGCAAAATGCAATGTATGCGGCCAAGGGTACAGCTCAGTGGCACAGTGCCTGCCTGGTAAGCGCCAGGTCCTGAGTTTGATTCCCGGTACAAAAAAAGCAAAAACAACTTCAAGTGTGATCCTTGATTAAATGCTGAATCAAAGGGGGAAAACAGATTTAAAAGTCATTATTGGGGTAACGGGAAAAGCTTAAGAAAATACTCTATGTTGGATAATAGTACTGCATCAGTGTGAAATCCCCTGAAAGCAGCCATTAAACTGTGTTTGTGTGGATGTGCATCCACTGATTCTATGGAAGAATATGTTGAAGTATTTAGGAATGAAATGTCCTGATGCCTGCAACTGCCTCACGTATAGTTCCATAAAAAGAGTTACACACACACACACACACACACACACACACACACATTCATATGTTTGTGTGTAGGGAGAAAGAATAAATTTAGTAAGGTTTTCCTAGAAAAAAAATTTTCAGAGACATTATTAAAGATTTCAATGTGATCTGGAGGGAAAACAGGAAAGCACAACCATTATTAATAATGTTCGAGGGGCTGGGGATTTAGCTCAGCGGCAAAAGCGCCTGCCTGGCAAGCGCAAGGTCGTGAGTTCGGTTCCCGGTACCGGAGAAAAACCAAAAAAAAATAATAAAATAATGTTCGAAAAAATAGTGTTCTAGGGGCTGGGGATTTAGCTCACCGGCAAAGCGCCTGCCTGGCAAGCGCAGGTCGTGAGTTCGGTTCCCGGTACTGGAGAAAACAAAACAAAACAAAACAAAAAAAGTGTTCTATATTTAGAATTCTGGCAACAGTAGGCTTGAAAGGTTGAAAATAGTTTAGACAGGCACTGCTGAAGCATTCAGCAGGGAAAGAAACAGAGGAAAGAACCTCAAGCAAGAGAGGCGATGGTGTGATTTCATTATTTAACTTAGCAGGTTTTCCTAACTTTCCAAGAATAACTTTTTGAGCAAGGGATGGGGGTAGTGCAAAAATATTCAGGGGTCTTTTAATCCAGACAGTAACACCCCAATTTCCTGCTGGAATTTGAGAATGTGTGTGTCACAGGGAGTCACGCGGAGAAGGAAGCTGAAGGCTACATACAAGCAAATTTTATCTTAAAACTTAAGTAGTGGAAAATGGTGCAATTTATGGATGAGAAAACAGATTCATTTCATTCTCTGAAGTAGTTTAAACCAATGGCTTCTGAGGACTCAGAGAATAATCACTAGGAACACCAGGAAAGGCGTGGAAAGAGCAAACACCAAGGCTGTGTTCTGACCACTTCTGCGATAGCAGTCCCAGAGCAGCCTGCGTCTGGGCTTCAACAACGTGCCTGACAGGGCGCTTCTTCAGCCTTCGCTGTGATTTGGAATATTAGATGCATCTGTTCAGTGTTCCCTCAAATAGCTGGAAAGCAGAGCCCAAAGAGTGCTGCTTTGTTGATTGACACCTGGAAGCAGGTTTCCAGCCCCGTGTCCCAGAGCTCAGCCTTTGCACACTTACCAGCCGGCTGGGATAAACACTGACAGAAACAGTGATTATCTAATTTTCAGATAATAAAAAACCCTAATTATTTACTGGCTGATAGACTGTAATTTAAATGGAGATTTTGACTAAGAGTAGAATAAAGCATAAAAAGTATGAGGATGAAATTTAATTAGGATTAAATATGAAATACTTTAAGCCATGTCTGGATTATTGTGACAAATTCTAAGGCCCATATTTAAAGGATGGCACAGAAACACTGGAATGGGTTCAGAGAAGAGTGATGAAATCATATGATAGAAACTGTTACTTAAAAGTAGTTTAAAACAGCTTCAACTTGGAAAAGAGAATATTTTGGGAAGATAGAAATGATTATTCCATTTAACATATGAAATACCTTACATAGGCTATTGCCTATGTAAAAGAAATTATACCTATTCTAGGAGATCCAGTGATCTGAAATATGAGAAACAAACTGAAGAGACCAATTTCAGTTCAGTATCATGGGGAAAGTGTGGCTATTAGAATTGCCCCAAAATACAACTCTCTGCCTTGGGACAAAGTGGACTCTGCACTATGGAAAAGAATTGAATATAGCCTAGCGGAGACAGAGGAAGGTGTCCCTGGGAAGAAAGGCTTACATGGGATGGAAGAGATGAATTCTAAAATTCTTAAATTCTAAAATACTAAAATTCTAAAATACTTTAAGCAATAGTTTTTTTCTGGTAACTGTATTTCTCTAGTGTAAGATAAAGAAGAAAGAAATAATAAAGAAATCTACAAATATAAAATCAGGATACAGAAAACAAATTGGCTAGAAAAATAAAGAGATCACAAGAACTTGAGGGAATAATACAAATTTGAAATTGGCAAAGGTTGTAGGCTGTTGTGAGAGGGCACAGTTTAAGACTGGAGGGTAGGGGTGGAAGCCAGAATGGAGGAAGTCGGACGTTTGGAGACAAGTAATCTGACCAAGGCCACAAGGTTTAGCCCGGAAACAGGGTCAACTGTGTTCCAAGTGCTCCAGGTCACTTTACGGATGACCTCCTTGGTACCATTCACATGAGAAGAATAATGCAAACTTTCTATTAACTGCATTTGCCAATACATTCGAGGGTTCCTAACATAATATGGATACATAAAGAAACTCAGCAAGGATGGTTACTGAAGGACACTGCAAAAACGAAGATCCCAGGATCGTGGTGGAGCTGCCGGAAGTAGACCGTGCTAAGGTTGAAGAAGACAGACCTATTCCAGTTTGCAGCCAGGAAGCCTTCCCATCACCTTTACATGCATGATCTTATTTAATCTTTACATTAATAAAGTTAATTTAAAAAGACCAGTTTATAAAGAAGAAATGGCTTACAAACACTACTGAGTCCACGGGGTCAGGCCAGTGCAGAGGTGCGGGGTGTGGCTGGTTGTATCCTTCCTGCAAATCTGGAGTAGACATCACACCTGATCCACCTTCTTCCTGTCAGTGAAGTCAAGTTTGAGTTTGTTTCCTCAATGGTAAAAAAGAGGAATAATAGTACCTCTCATGTGAAGGTGTTGTGAAGTTGAAATGAGGTAATGTTACTAACTTGCTCTCCAGCATACAAGAGATGCTCAATAAATATTATTTTCTTTGGAACTGAATTGGCTGATGCACTGCTGATTGGGAGAGAGGAAGAGAACTCCAGTGACTATCAAGATACTTATTTTAAGAGGACAGAGTGGCCAGTGTGGGCTGGATTCTCTAGAGATGAAGACATCCGTTGCGCAAGTCTCAGTGGGTACTGTTTTTAAGACAAAGCCTAATAGGTAATTGTTGAAGGCAAGAAGTCACTGTGTACAAAGTGCTTTTAATTCATTGAATACATTTTTCTTGAGCAACTACTATGTAGGTGTTGCATCTCTTATTTCATTTGCTTCTCATCAGAATCTTTGAGAGGTCAATATTATGCCCAGTTCATAGCAAAAAAATTAATTTTAAATAGAGACTAAGGAAGTAGTTGGACTCCACAAACCCCATAGTCCAAAAAAAGCCTTTTATCTTCAAAACAGCTTCATTGCCTCTGGAGAGGGGTAAGCATGTGTCAGAGGTGAGGATGAAGTGTGGCTAAGGCAGAGCAAACACCTTCAAAAACACTCTCAGTGGGCTGGGCTGGCTATGAGCACTGCTGATGAATTTTAAAGAATACCAGTGACATCATAATAGACATAACAATACCTAATATGGTTAAGAGCTAAGAGTCTATAATTTCAAGGGCTTTATACACACCATCTAATTTAAACTTCGCAATAGGTTTACAAGTTAGATTCTGATAATGTAGTTCCTGTATTTTAGGTAAAGTAATTGAGCCTTAGAAAGTTTAAATAACTTGTGAGCCCAAATCTTTCTGACCTTGATCTGACACTCTTTATTATTCAACTTATTTTCTTGGGGCAAGAGAGTATGGTAGCATTGATATTAGGATGGAAAACCAGCAAAAAGAGAGTTTGGCAGAAGCCAGAGGGCCAGAGAGGGGAGGGTAGTGAATCCAGGAAGAAGGGCTCTCTAGCTTGAGCTGGAATGACCCCCAGGGAACACTAGTGTAAGCCTAGGGTTAATACACCTTAGCATTTGAATTCAATACCCTGATTAAGCAAAGTTGTAAGAAGAAAAAGTAAAGCCATATACAAATGAGTCAGAGCCCATTTGGAAATGGAAACAAAAAGGAAAAAGGATGCAGGCACCTAGGGAGAAGGAGCAGGTGTTATCATAAGGGTTGATGCTTGCTTAGGAGGGAACAGAATGTGGCTCTCAAATCTCCAAACATGGTGAGGAAGAATCCATTAGGTTAAGGGACAGAAAAGGTTTTCCTCCTCTGCGCATGGTCAGACATTACCAGTACATGTCTATACTGCTGTCACATTCACTTACTTCATTTGGTACAAATTATTGGTGCCTCTGTGGTCAATATCATGGCAGAAGGCAGCAGCAACCATAGCAAAAGCTTCAAGATCTGTGTAGTATTTCTTTAGTCTTCCTGTCTAAAAATATAGAGTGATACATATTTACATGGGTTAATGGACATCTGTCCTAAGTACAGCAAGACCTACGTGCAGTGGAGAAAGGGACCTATCAGACTTTTACAGCAAGTGGGCTTTATTTCTTGTGAATTCTGTAGCATTTTGTGCAATTCCAAAACCTAGCAAGTGATAGAATTTTTCTTTAAGAGGTAAATAGATGAACATCTGGGTGATAATTCAAGTGCCTAGGGATGCCCACGTCCTGGGCATTATCTGTGAGGGGTGGGGATTGTGCTTGTGAATTTTAAAATGACAGATATGGAGGGCTGGGGATTTAGCTCAGCGGCAAAGTGCCTGCCTGGCAAGCGCAAGGTCGTGAGTTCAGTTCCTGGTACTGGAGAAAAACCAAAACCAAAAAAAAAAAAAAAAAAATGACAGATATGGAATGATGGGCCATATCTGTTTGTCACCATGCTCAAATGGGAAATGTGCAGGTGTTCGGTGATTTCCGGCACACCATACTTACCATCAGCAAGGTGAACATGGTCTGCCCCACGTTGAATCCATGCCGCCAGTTGTGGTAAGTGACGGAGCGGTACCCTTTCCTCACTGTGTACATCCACCTGGTAAGAACCTGTTACCCAAGGACAACACCATTCAGACTTTGGAATGGAGCGCTAAAGGTTAGAAGTCTGTGACAATCTTATCTAAAAAGATGTGTTGGCCTTATTGACAGAGTTTAAGCTGATGTATTTACAAAGTTAATTTAAAATCCAAACTGAGTTAATCTTTTGAACCACAGAAAATATTTGAGAGGTACAACAACAGAATCAAATAGTATTTTAAATGAAATACCATCTGACCTCCACAGGTACTTTGAATTTCTCCACCACATTTATTTCAAAAAACAGTCGTAGTCCACATTTAACCAATTCGTGCTCAGTAATGGGAAAGTCACTGAAGTGGAATTCATATAGGTCTACTGCCTTTGGGTCTGGCAAATCCTCTTTCTATTGAAAAAATAGATTATTTCAGATTATTTTCACTTTTTTTTCCTTTACAGTCACCTACCCAACATTGAAGTAAAAATTATGATAAAAGAATATCACAGGCAAGTTATTGAATCAATATATGCCAGATATAGACTTATATAGTTTGAATAGATTAGCCTCAAAACAAACATACAAAATTATCCCCATTTTACAGGTAGTAAAGTTGAGATTCAGCCATATTTTTTTTTCTTTTTTTTTTGGTTTTTCTCCAGTACTGGGAACTGAACTCACGACCTTGCGCTTGCCAGGCAGGCGCTTTGCCGCTGAGCTAAATCCCCAGCCCGAGATTCAGCCATATTAAAAAAGCTTTCTCAATGATGGAATTCAATTCAAAATTCAGGGGCTGAGGATTTAGCTCAGCGGCACAGCGTCTGCCTAGCAAGCTTGAGGTCGTGAGTTCGATTCCTGGTACTGGAAAAAAACAAAACAAAACAAAAAACATAAAATAAAATTTGAAATTCAATTCCAGTAGCTGTCTTCTTTCTCTAATGCAAAATAAAATGTTTAGTCATAGCACTTAACCCGTTTTTAATGCTCAACTTCTCCTTTTTCCTATTCAAGGAATATTCATTAAATAGTTGGTGATGGTTTAATTCTCTTGTATTTTCTCCATTTGCTCAGTGATGGTTTCCTATACTTTTCACTAGACTATGAGCTCCACAAGCGCAGGGATCATGCTTTCATTTGGTGCCCTATCCCATAACCCACATTGCCTGTGCTATAAAGGTGCTCTGTAAATGTTTGCTGAATGAATAAATGCCCCACCATATATAGGAATGCTTTTAAATATGCATTTTAGCCTACAACTCATTAAGACTTAGGAGCTTGTGAAAAACTAGTGATCAAGGCACATGAGCATTGATGTGACTTGGTGGATAAAAATACGGATTTTGCTGTTAAAAAGATTAATTTATTGAAATAGTTATAAAATGCAGACCAGGGAAAGGTGAGAGCTTAGAATCATCAGAGAGCACAGCGTTGAGTTCTTTGTGCTATGAGAGAAATGGAATGGCTGAGGACAGGCCGGCCTGTTATGAATTCAAGGAGGAGGCTCCAGATGGGCTTGTGTTAAGTTGAACTGGTAGAAGGAAGGAGAGGTTTTCATGGAGGGAAAGAAGCACTAAAAGCCAAGAGCAAGCTACAGCTTTGGGTCTACCAGACAGACCTTCAGGGACGGCTCAGTCCAAAGCCACTCTTGTTGGTAAGCTTACAGCCTCCCAGGAAGCACTTCATCTTCTATACACATTTCAGTACTCAGTGGTACATGCCTGCCTTCAGCAAAATGGTGGCTTCTGGTCCCCTCGTTCCTGTGCCTGGGTAGACCCCTCATCCCCTGCCCCTTCCTCAGGGAGGCTCCCAGCTCAGCTTAACACAGCCCACCTGCTCCCAGAAGGGTTTCGTGAACTCTGATTGGGTTATTTTCCAGATCCCAGAACTCAAGCTGGTCACAGTCTTACACCGCACCTATGCCAGGCCTCCCAGGTGGCTTTTGTCACTTCTCACTGCCACTCCAACCACTTTCAGCCCCTCAGGTTTCCCTGAGCTAACACACTGTCTGACATGTGTCTCATCTGTGCTGTGCTCCAATCTGCACACTCCATCATTAGCCCCCACCTGGCAGGTGCCTGCTTTCCCTCCAGGCCCCAAGTCTGTCATCTTACCTCTGTGGCTCCATCATCTTCTGAGCATACGTCAGGCTTTGGCCTTCCTGATCCCTTGTGCTCATCTTCTGTGACCACATCTGAGTAGGGCAGTGACACTGCTTATGTTTTTCTCTTCCTAATCCACAAGTAGCTTCTTGAACCAGGTCATAATATCTTTTGCCCTAGACACCTAACACTGTTCCTTGTAGTATGGTGTTTCAATAATTAATGAACAAAGAAACTGAACAAAGAATGTATGAATGAGGTGCTTCACTAAGAATTCCTCTGCAACTCTTCTATGGTTGGAGAAATGTTAGCTGTAGGGCCTCCATGAGCACCCAAGTATCCTAGAGAGCAGGAAGGCATCAATCACCTCCTCTACCTGTGTCAGATCACTGCTATTCTGGTTCTTCCCAGTGCAGACTGGAACCCTTGTCATACCTAGAAAAGAAAGCTGGCCCTCCTGAGCCTACAGTTAAAGGGTACCCCTGGAGAAAGAATTAGGGTGAGCAGAGATGTACAAATAGCATACATTTGAGAAAAGATGCCAGTATAATTCTGGAGAGCTCTTCTGCTGTACTTGTTTAAATTTCTAAAGCTTATGAAGCAATGATTTAGAATTAGCTCAGAATAGATTTTATTTTCAAAATATGCTGTTTTCGGGGCTGGGGATTTAGCTCAGCGGCAAAAGCGCCTGCCTGGCAAGTGCAAGGTCGTGAGTTCGGTTCCCGGTACCGGAGAAAAACCAAAACCAAAAAAAAACAAAAAAAAAAAAACAAAATATGCTGTTTTCGGTAAGTCTACAGTACTTTGCCCAATTTACTGCTTCTTCCACATAAGATCCTTCTTCCTCTACAAAGGGAGCTAGAAAATATGTAGTGTCACACTCATCAGCACAATCTTATTTCACAAGAAGATGCATATCTGAGGACAGGTGAGGAGGAAGCATCCTCTTCCCAGCCAGGTATGAGAGACGGCACTCAGAGGCTGAGCCCAGGAAAAGGGCAGAAAGAGAAGGGACCTCAGGTGACACAAAAACATGGAAGGGGTGAGGAACTGATCCCTCAACAGGGGTCAAAGGCCAGTGGTCTATGTCAGGAGAGCAAAAGGCCAGTATGGGAGGCAGAGTGCATAAAAATTGGAAGGGGACGGGTAATTCAGTGTGACTTCAGTTAGAGAGAACCCTTGTATCATGAATTGGAGAGAGGCAGTGGCAAACAAGATTAAGTGGATAACAGGAAATTAAATGTGATATTATTTCAATTTCAATCATACAGAATTAGGTCTCTCAAATCTTGGTAAATCTCTCAGGAGTCCATGAGATTGCAGAATAGCCCCCCTCTAGAAGCAGGGGTTCCATCCCAATAGTAAGGGAAAAAGACACCCACTACAAAATCTGAAATCAGCCTTCTTCATCTACCAGAAGAAAATCTAATCAATCCTCTTTGTGGAAAGAGAATAGCACTCAGACCCCCACAAGTTTTTATTTATAAATTTAAAAATTATGAAGCAGGTTTTAGTACAGGATCAAATGACTGAAACCCTTGTGAAAAAAACAAGCAATAACACTCAGCCTCAAAGTGAGTCAGGTATTAAGAGGAGTACTTTAAAATAATTACTAAATTTGTAATGATCACAAATTTTTAAAAATAGAAAGAGAAGTAAATAAAGTGATAAGTTTAAGCACAGAATTCAAACTTTAAAAAATAATCAAACATACCTTCCAGAACAGAAATATACCTTCGAGACCATCTCTAACATTAAAAACCTATTGAGTGTGTTTAACTATAGACTGTACGCAGCAAAAGACAAGACCAGTGGACAGGAAGAGAAGTTCATTTCAATCAGAAATAATAGAAGTGACCTACTGACCACAACCAGGAAGCAATGAGTCTCTTCAAACTCCAGCAAAGAAGCTGGAGATGGCAGGTGGTCACTGCGCCTTGCAGCGGCCTATGTTCTAGTGTCACTGTGGCATGTCCTCGGGCAGCCATGGCACAATCTAAAACTACTAACATAAACTATGCTGTGACGTCCCTAGATTCTGTGCCTGAGGTCCCTCTGCAGAGGCCTAGTTTAGCTATGATTCTAAGTTGTGTCTGTAAACTTAACTGTAGGGAGCACAGACGAAAGAAAAGCAGTAAACCAATAGATCAGTCTTTAGCAAAGATCGCTTGTCTTTTTGGTTCCAAAATGTGTCAAGATAAGGGACACACAACATTTACTTGAAAACTGAAAATACATGTTCTAATATATTTTATTGAAAAGGCATCAGAGGGGCTGGGGATTTAGCTCAGCGGCAAAGCGCCTGCCTGGCAAGAGCAAGGTCGTAAGTTCGGTTCCCGGTACCGGAGAAAAACCAAAAAAAAAAAAAAAAAAGAAAAGGCATCAGAGATAGAAGGCACTTACCAAAATTGTGACAAGCTGTTTTTCTTCACAGTCTTCAATCACATCTATATTTAACTTCTCTTTAAATTTCTAAAATGTAAAAGCAACTGAGGTATGAAATGCCTATGGAGGTTCTGATTCTTCTATCATTAAAATCAGTTAAGATATATTTAAAATGTGCTGTAAAAACTTCCATAACAAATACACAGTCTATATACAAAGACCTTATTATGAACAGCTGTGTCCAAGAAATAATCTAATAGTATTGATTTCTCTAGGCTCCCAAAGTGTAATAGCCATAGTAAAAAGAAGAAGAAAAAGAGGTGTAGATGTGTAAGAAAGAGAAGAAAAATGAGCGGCTTACATCTGTTTTGCTAATAGCTGATAGCAATTTCCCATGATTCCTCCACACCTCCTCTTTAACATCTCAAACACTCAAATCCAGTACCTTTTATCTCCCAATCTTCCCACTCAGCAAAACCAAAACCAATCAAAACAAAAACCTTCCACAAAATTACACACATTCCAAAAGCTGGAAAATGCAAGGGATAGAGATACTGGGTATGTGATCATTTCTCTTCCTTTTGTGGTGATTAGAAGAACACTTAGCAAAAACCCACCAGCTCCTCCTACATCCATGATGTTGGTCTTGATCATGTGACTTCCTTTGATAAATGGTAATTTAAGTGACTGCGATGTGAGCAAAGGTTAGAAGTATGCTTGCACAGTTTGGCTTCCTTTTCTGCACTTTTGTCACCAGTGTGAGAACAGCATGTATCAGGCAGTGGTTAACCAGTCCACAAACGATAAAAGACGCACATAGAAATCCAGCTTCACAGCTTAGAGGCACACTCAGTCAAGGTAAAAGAAAACTTTTCCATGTACACTGGGCCATCAAGCTCCTCCTCCCACCTCTGCTTCTCTGTCTTCCCTCCCTTATCTCAAGCTAAACCTCTTCTTCTTTGTCAGGTTCCTGGGTAATTAGGGGGTTCCCAGAAGCTAACATTCACAGCACCCAATGTCCAAAAGCCTGAATTCTCCACTTACCAATATAGACTTAACTTCATCAGCAGTTGCCTTGGTCTGGCTCATAAGCATTTCCTGAGCAATGTCTTTTCTGTTTTCTAGCTTATTCATTTTCTCATAGGTATCAGTATTTAGAAGAGACCATCCAAGAAATTGTGTGAGAGTCTGAAATGTATAAAAGGTGATTTAGTTTCTCTACAGTTGGAGGAAAATTGACTTTGGGGCACAATTTTCATGCCTTCCTATCAGTCAGCCCAGTTCTCTATTTTAACAAAGACCCCAGTTCTTTATTTTAATATAAGAAAAAACCATGTGAGCTTATTATCCTAGGTGATAAACTTTGCTAAGTTCTTGCTTTTCAAAGTACCATGCACCAGGAATCATCTATTGCAGGGGAGAAATTAGAAATAATAGTAGAATAAAGCAGGACCTAAAAGTTAGACAGAGAGCTAAATGAGATGAGAATGAGAATGAGAGGGAACAGTAAGGAGGAAGGAAAGAGGACAGAAATAATTTTCCCTGTTTTTCTAGGATCAGAAAGCATTTGAGTTAGGCTGCATTTCAAACTAATAAAAAATGCTGCAGTTTAAAAAGTCAGGAAATAGAAATGACACAACAGCATTTTGGTTACAACTATGTGTGACTCATGTCTTAATTGCTCTTCAAAATATCATTTTAGATAACAAATAATTATGCATCCTCCATTATTTCATGAATTTCACTTACCTCCATTATTTTATTATTATACTTACCTCAGTAATGTGTTCATCATGCTCATCAAAGGGTTTTCCATCCTTCCTATTGTAAAATGTTGCCACTCCCACAATATCTTCTTTCTTGTTGACAATAGGCAGGGACAAGACATTTTTAATGACCCAACCAGTTTCATCTACAGGTCCTTTCTACAAACAATAAGGAAATAACTTAGTTTACTTCATTTTTTTTGCTTTTTAATTTGAAATAGTTATAGATTCTTAGGGTGTTGCAAAAAATGTATGGAAAAGTCCCATGTACGCAGCCTCAGCAAATTGGTGGGAGGGATAGCAAGTAAGAAGAAAGGACATGTGGGGATGGGAATAGTAAAGATGACAGCTTGGGCCTTTTGGTGAATTACATGAAGTAGAAAGGGGAGAAATGAGCCCTCAAGTCCTGTAGCCAAGTCCAAGCAGAAAGTCATTGCCTTACTCCATTTTCTGGGGCTGTAATAGAACAGACAGGGTAAATTAGGAAGAAAAGTACATTTACAGTTCTCATAGTTATGGAGGCTGGGAAGTCCAAGATCATGGCATCTCCATCTGGGCAGGGCCTTCTTGCTCCCTCACAATATGGTGAAGAGCATCATGTGATGAGAAGGCAAGAGAGCAAGAGATGGGCTTGGGACTCTTTCTTTTTCTTATAATGCCACTAAATGTGATCTTAGAGACAGCACTCTCATTACCTAATCTAACCTCAAGGACCTCTTGAAGACCCATCAACTATGAATTTGGGGATCCAGTTTCCAACACGTGAACTTTTAGGGACACATTCAAAGCCACAACAGCTGTGATGGTAGAGTGAAAGGGGTCAGCCAGGTCAGCAAACACAGGGCAGCTGGTTTGGGGGATTGTCTGTGGTGACCAGAGGTGGATTCTTTAGGAACTGAGTCTCTGAGTGTTAGGGGAGAAAGATAAAAAGCAGGGACCCAATAAAAATGTTTTCTTGAGGTACTTGGTCCATCCCCCTAAAGGGCAGCCAGTGTGGGAAGGGCCCAGAACTCAGCAACCAGCTTGGCCAGAGGAACCCAGATGCCTGACCCACACCCCTACACTATGGGAAAGGCAGCCAGCATGGGAAACACCTGGGACTTGGCAACCTACTCAACCAGAGGAACCCAGGGTAAATCCACTCAAACAAGGGGAAACACTATGCATACAAACTCCTAATTCAAGATTTGTTCTGTTATATAACTATAGACTTTTCTCCTATGGTCTAAAGTACAAAATCAATATTACCCCAGTTTGTCAATTTTGAAATTTTGCTTGATGCTACCATTATTGCTAATTGTACTATTGTAGCAAGTATGTCGTATCTGTTGTAATCACTTGTTCTTTCTTGGGTAACAATATTGGGAAGCTCTAAGGTAGTAACCTCACCAGAGCCCTACTCTTAAACACTGAGGACAGAGCCAAACAGAAACCAACATCTCACTCTCAATTAACTGGGAAGGCAGGATCTTGGGACAGACACAAACTAAGACTCCCTGACACACAGAAGATATCTGTGAAGAACAGGCTTTTCCTAGAGAGGCCTTGATAATAGTGATATAAATACCTACTACCAAAATTCACAAGGATTATCACAGAAATCAAAATAAAAAAATTTTTTTTGAAATAGAAAATGTCAAGATGCAGGATCAAAATGCAATCTGAGACCTCCAGCCCACCCAGAAGTCCAGGAGATATCAACATATAAGACATTGGAAGTCACACCTGAAATTTCTGAAACGATAGCAACTAAAGTAAAGAAACAACTCCAAGAGGCTATAGATGAACTCAGATCAGAAATAATCTTTCAGGTGAAAAAGAAATGGTAACTATAACAAAACAATTGCTCAGCATACATACAGAAGACATAGATTAAAAAAATAGAGGAGTACAGAAAAATGATGGAAACCTTGAATGAACAATATAGGAAAGACTTATAATACATGAAACAGATTCGAAGAGATATCCAGGAAATTAAAAATCCATCAAAACCTGGCAAAACTGCTTGCACAAAACTTAGGATAGACTGTCAGACCTTAAAGACATCATTACAGCTAGCTACCAGGAAAGGAAAGTTCTCTTAAAAATAACAAGGAACCAAGAAATAACAATTCAACAGCTCCAAGGTGATACAAAGAATAACAACATACAACTGATAGGTGTCAACAAAAAAGGAGGAGTCAACACAAATGATATAAAAAGACTATTTGCAGAAGTAATAGCGTAAAATTTCTCAAGTATGGGAAAAGAATCTGACATACAGTAAGTGAGGCATATAGAATTTCAATTAGCCTTAACCAAAATAAATCTACACACAGACATATAATAATCAAGATCCCAGAAATTCAGCACAAAAATGGAATATTAAAAGCTGCTAGAGAAAAGAGACAGATCATTCATAAAGGAAAGCTCATCAGAATCATGGCAGATTTCTCAACACAAACCATGAAATCATGAAGAGCTTGGAGTGAAATATTTCAAATAGTGAAAGAAAACAGCTTCCAACCCAGACTGATGTACCCTGCAAAATTAACTTTCAAAATTAATGGAGAAATAAGATACTTCCATAACATGAACAATGGAAGAAATTCATGACCACCAAACCAACCCTACAAAGAGTACTAAAAGGTATTCTAGACAGAGAAAAAAATGACCACAATTCCAAGAACAACAACAGAAAAAAACCACTGAGCAGGGCAAGCAATAAAATGCAGGGGAAAAGTAGGGAAAATAACATGACTAAGATAAGCCAATATATATCAATGATAACCATCAATGTAAATGACCTCAATTCACCAGTCAAAAGAAACAGACTGGCAGAGTGGATCAAGAAATAAGGTCCAACCATATACATTATACCAGAAACACATTTAACTCAAAAAGAAATTCATAGACTGAAAATCAAAGGATGACATGAAACAAGAACCCAGAAAAAAGCAGGGGTAGCTATTCTTTTTGCACACAATGTGAATTTCTAACCCAGAATGATCCAATGAGATAAAGTAGGTCACTACATACTTGGTAGGGGAAAACTTCAAGAGGAAGAGATAACAATCATATATATGTATATACCAAATACAGGAGCACACAACTATATATATAAGACAAATACTAATAGACATGAAAAATCAAATAACCAATAACACAATTGTGACAAGGGACATTAGTACCCCATTGACACAAAGAGATAGATCAACTAGACAAAAAATCAGCAAAGAAATAACGGAACTGAACCAAACTTGTGAACAAATGGGCTTAGTAGACGGTTACAGAATGTTCTACCCAATAACATCAGAAAATACATTCTTGTCAGCTGCACATGGGACATTCTCTAATATAGACCATATACTAGCACATAAAACATGCTTAAGTAAATGCAAAGGTAATGAAATTATCCCATGCACAGTATCTGACCATAGTGCAATGAATTGGAAATTAATGATGAAGAAATCACAAAAACTCCATAAACACATGGAAATTAAATAACACCTTCCTGAACAACCAATGGTTCAGAGATGAAATTAAAGGAGAAATTAAACAATATCTACAATCAAAGAAAAATGCAGATACAACTTACCAGAATCTGTGGAATGCAATGAAAACAATTCTCAGAGGGAAATTTATTTCAGTGAACTCTCACATCAGGAAAACAGAAAGAGAACAAATAATTAACCCTGCTCATAGATAGGAAGAATTAACATTGTGAAAATGGCCATACTCTCAAAGCTATTATACAGATTTAATACAATCCCAATCAAATTAACATTGGCATACCTCATTTTTGGAACCAGAAATGACCTAGAATAGCAAAAGCAATCCTGGTCAATAAAGGTAAGGCAAGAGGTATCATAATTCCTGACTTAAAATTATACTACAAACTACTGTGATAAAATCAGCATGATAATAGCAAAAAAAACAAAACAAAACAAAAAAAAAACAGACTTGAGGATTAATATAACAGATTAGAAGATACAGACACAGCTACAAACACACTCAGCCACCTTATCTTGGACAACGGGGCCAAACATGTTCACCTCTTCAGTAAATGGTGCTGGAAAAACTGGCTTACCACATGCCAAAGACTAAAATAAGACCCATGTCTATCACCATGCACTAAACTAAAGTCAAGATGGATTAAAGATCTAAATATTAAAGCAGAAATACTAAATCTGCTGGAAGAGAAAGTAGGTAGAAATCTTGAGGACATAGGGATAGGCAGAGAGTTCATGAAAAAAACCAAACTACATGGGAAATTCTTCAACGAACCAACAACTGGGATCTCATCTTATTAAAAAGTTTTTGCACATCTAAAGAAATCACTAACAGAGTGAAAAGAAAACCCCATAAATTGGGAAAAAATTTTAGCCAACTGTCTTTCAAAAGGACTTCTATCTAGAACATATAATAAATTTTAAAAAAATCAGGCCTTCCAAAATTCAAAGACCCAATACAAAACTGGCATCTGAGATGGCAAATAAATATATGAAAAAATGTTCAACAGCATTGGTCATTTGAGAAATGCAAATTAAAACAACACTAAGATTCCATCTCACCCTAGAAAGAATGGGTATCATGAAGATATCAACCAATAACAAGTGCTAGTGGGACTGTAGGGAGAAAGGAGCACATCTTCATTGTTTGTGGGACTGTAGACTGGGACAACCACTGTGGAAACCAGTGTGGAGACTCCTAAAGATCACAATTCCACTCAGCTATTCCCCTTCTGGGTGTTTTCCCAGAAGAAATCAAAACATCATGCTACAGTGATATATGTGCACCCATGTTTATAGCAGCACAATTTGTCATAGCTAAATCTTGGAAACAACCCAACTGCCTATCAACTGAGGAATGGATAAAAAAGATGTGGTATTTTTATGCAATGGAGTACTACTCATCTATAAAGAAAGATAAACTTGAGGCTTTTATAGGTAAATGGATGCAACTAGAGACCATACTCATAAGTGAAATAAATCAGAATTGCATGTGTAAACACCATAATGTGTCCCTCATGTAAGAACTGAAAGAGTAAATAAGATCCAAAAGGTACAATAGATATAGTGAAAGAGAAAGAAACTGCTCAAAAGGAAAGAGCAGATGGGGTGGCGGAAATGAGAAAAGAGGGAAGGGAAAACAAGATACGCATATACACACAAGATAGCTAAGATAATTATACTACTAATTTCTATTAGTTCGTTGAAAGAAACCACTAGTGTTTATGTTGTTTGATCAATTCTGCATGCCTGAGCAACTACTTTGAAGATAATAATATGCAATATAATAACCATTGTTAATTTCCTATCATATTGTTTTGAAATTCCCTATCATTTTTATTGTGTTTTTTTTTTTGGTCTCTTTTTCTGTTGTTTGTTGTTTTTGTTGTTGTTGTTTTTGTGTTTTTTTTGTTTGTTTGTTTGTTTTTTTGTCTTTTTGAGACAAGGTCTCACTATGCAGTTCAGGCTGGCCTTGAGCTCACTTTGTAGCCCAGACTGATCTCAAAGTATCAGGGATCCTCCTGCCTCAGCCTCTTGAGTGCTGGGATTATAGGCGTGCACCACCATGCTGGAACTGTTGTTTGTTTTTGTGTGTTTAAAATTTTTAAAAATGTTTTCTTTTCCTGATCACAGTTGCAATAAGTGGCAGGGGAGGATTGTTGAGAAAGCTAGCTACAGAGCTTGATTCAGGTCATAGGAGCTATTCAGCCAACTGTTCATGCAAAGAACATTTATTGAATATCAGTGATGTTTTAGGTTCTGTTGTTGCCACTAGAGGACCAGAAGTGGGAGAGAATGGAGGAGTGGTGGGGATCCCTGTCTCCTCTCCTATCCTGCTCTCCAGCTTCTTTTTCCTTCATTGAAGGATCTGCTACTTGGTGGTTACTGGTCCAGCCACGGTGAGTGGGGCATGGGTCCTAAGTCTGCCTGTTGGGCATATCTGACCATGTGGCAGTCTCTGCGGACTGAGGGAAGGAGAAAGCATCTCCTTCCCACTCCAGTCCTGAAAGATGAGGCTTGGCTGAGGGAACAATTACCTGGAATGTGAAGTATTCGTCTGCAGGGGCATTCAGCATGTTACATATCTGTAAGCAAGAGGAGATAAGAGTTCTTCTGAAACATCTTGTGGTGGAGTCATTTAACCCCACAAAAGAGAGTAAGACAGAATGCATCAGGAGTGAGGGTTTCTGACATCAGTCATTCTTAACTGCTTGTTGTAAAATTATCCACATTGGACTTTGGCTGCGCAATACTTACTAACCACTCACTGAATTAGCTTCTCTTCTGCTTAGTCACTAGTGACAGTAAGCACCATCTTTGCGTCCTTCCACTCTTTCAGCTATTAACAATCCCTTTCAAATTCAAAACTACCAGCTGTTCAGCCCTAGGGGAGAAGAAACTTGAATAGAAAGGCCATTCTTCTGGGGCGGGTGTGAGCTGCTGTTAGGATTGGTTTTTTTGTTGTGGTTGTTGTTGTTTTGTGTGGTTTCCTCCTAAAGTGGGATCCAAATAAGAAGAAGGTAGCCTAAAGGAAGAATAAAAAAACCAGGCAATCTTTCAGGTGCACCAAAGTAAGGATTCACTGGAGAGGAATCACTTCAACTACTGAAATTCTGAAGCTATTGCTCACATCCATAAGGAGAAGAAGTCATTCCATTTTGGCTCATGCTAATTTATTTGTAGTTTAGGTCACTTCCACAAATGGTCTTCATAAAAGAGTGTCTTTCTTCCTACCAACATTACAGTAGATACTTCAAATCATAGAATTATAAGGCTGAAAGAATATTAGTGATAAAGTTTAAGCTTTTCATTTAAAGATGAAGAAATAAGAGTTCCAAAAGGCTAAGTGATTTGTTCAAACTCCTGGGAACAAATCTTACCTCCAGAACTGGTAGGACTGGCTCTCCTGGGCAGGGATGGGCAGAGCCCTGGTTTGTGTTTGTTACCCATTTGTATAGTGTAAATATTCCCACCATGCAGTGTTCAAATTGCCGATAGTTTGACAACTTAAAAAATTCCTGAAAATCTAACAATCCTGTGAGCCCGTCTGAATGGACTCCTTACCTACCACAGCAAACCCTCCCGACGCCGTGGCCCCAAGATAAACGCTTTCTAAAAATATTTGAACCACATCAACTATTTTTGTACAAGTTTTACAAAGAACATATAAAAATATTTCAAAGTTTTTATGAGCATTTATAACCTAAGAATTTAAAGAATAATTTGTGCCATCCATTATTTTTATGAACAAATGAATATATTACATGATTCTATGAGCAGAGCATCTTCAAATGTTCTTGACAGATACAAAAAACCCTTTATTGCCCATTTCTGAGCTTTCTGTCAGAAAAACATGTTTCATCCTATATTTGAGTCTCAAGAGAACATTTAGAACTGGATCAAGATCTTAGAAACCCAGACTTACTTAAGTCCTCACCCTATTTGTCTATCTCTTTCTTTCTCGTGTTTCAAAAATTAATCAAAGTACTAGAGATAAAAGTAAATCTAAAATGAATCATAGTCACTGACTTTAAAAGCATGTCTAAACTTTGTGTGGCTGCAGAATAAGTTGAGCAATGGGTGAATATTTCTCATGTTGACTAAATTTTTTATATAGAGTTTCAAAGTCTCCAGTTAACCTACATTCAATTGCCAGACCTCTTCTCTCTTATGTCCTGTTCTAAAGTTAGTGGACATCTCACCTCTCCTACTGCATTCTGCTTTGATAATGGTATCTATTTCTCTGTTAATAAGAGTTTCACGCCACATTATTTAGAATTTATATTTGTCCAATAACTTACAAATCCATTTTCAGCAACATAGGTTGGCAACCCACTAATGAGAGTCCAGTGGTCTGCAGGAGGTGTCCTTGAAGAAGATGAGAAGAAGGAAAATTACTGCAATATAGAAGAATCAATTGTGTGCAGAAAAAAAAATAGCAACTCCTGCAGCTACTTCATAACACTACTCACGGGATCACTTTGATCTCTTCTTTTCCATGTAAAATGTAATCAATTATTTTGTAAAAGATTATTTCCTAAGAGAGAAGATTATGAGCATAGTGTTATTTTCCAAAGAAAATACTTTTCACTGATGGAGCCATACTTTAAAAGTCATATAGTACCTGATTTCTTAGTCCCGTTTTTCTGCATAACAAAAATTATTCCTATTCACATCCTAGCTACACATTAGCGACAAAATCAGAAATGCTGACTGTTTATGTTCATTTAGGCTGAACTAAATTTAATTTTTAAGAAGTTAAGTCACCCAACAGTTTCTGGAGATATCTCTGACTACCAAATCACCAGTTTGTTTTACTCTGAACTGATCCCTTTTTCTTCTCCTGATGTTATATAACTTCATTATAATTATATAATGTTGTATAACTTCATTAGAACAAAGCAAGTAATTTCTCAGTTTCAATCAATTGAACACCATACACAATGAGCACCCAACCTTTCCTAGTACTGGCTTATCTGAGCAGGTGCCTCAGAGGCGGGGTTCAATGGATCCGTTGTCAGAGCCAGGAGGGATGTAGGTACTAGTTTCTCTACTTCATGGGCAGATGGAGAACCTGAGGCAGTACACACTCCATCCCAATAAAGTCTCTTTCCTGTATGCTGAGAACATAGTGGTGGATAAATAGAGATGGTTCCAGCCTCATGAAACTTTCAGACAAGGGTGAAAATATAGTCATACCTTGGTACTCATGCTGAAATCAGTGAGTACCAAATGAACTTTCCCACAAGAAATAATGTATTTATTTCAAGTTTTCTTGAAGTCTCTCTTTTTTGAGGGGAAGATTGAGGTTTGGAGGGAGCAGGGGGCGATGGGCAGGAAAGGGGACAAAAAGAAATAAGATGTGTTATGTACAAATACAAACATCTCACAATAAATGTAATCAGCTACTGTAAACATGTGCCAGTAGTAAAAATGCATAATTTAAAAAGAAATAATATATTCAGAAATAACTCATGGAAGTGCCACATAGTATTCACATTTTGCTAAGTAAATATTAAACTCCTACTGGGCTAATACTGTAAGACTTTTAGGCATAGTGATATCACTCTTAATCTTTATTGTTAGCACTTAAAATGCATAAAAGTATAAAACAGTAACAACCAATATGTGGGAGTTCCATACTGTTTGTGCACTATCATGAGACTGATACCAGTGCTGGGTGCTGAAACACTTTTTCTTGTCAAAATGCAATGAATATTGAGTTTGATGAGTTGTGAGGTCAAGGAGTATTGAAGTATGACTATAAATCTAATCCAATTTTTCCCTGGAGATCTCAAAACAGCATAACTGAAGGTGGGCCTGGGCCTTTTTTTAAAAAGTTACATAGTTGGCCTAAGGCATCCCTCCCTGTTGAGAACCACTGGTCTACCACTCCTTGGCTTATACAAAAGAAAACAAAGTGTTTAAGAGACAAATTAAGGCAAGAGTCACCTAGCTGGCTAGAGCAGAGCCAGGACTTGATCCTCAAACTCCTTGTTCACTGCTCTTTCTGCTGCTTCAAGCTTCCACAGAAGTTTATAGGAAGAAAATCCAGACCTTCCCAAGCCTGCGACCTTTAAATTTTAGCACCTGATAACATGTACAGACAATATCAAGATTGATTTTTGCATTTACCCTGCCATCTGGTGTCTTTGGACCTTTGTGAGGCTCCACTTCTCCAAGCTTGATTGGCCATTCGTCATAGAATTCCTGGAGGCAATCATATGAAACATTATTAAACAAACTATTGATGACCTACTGTGTTTTATTTGAATTACATGTGTTTGTATAGTTTATGTTAATTGACATAGTTATGGAATTTTAGACCAGTGACTTATAATTCTCAGTAACAGTACTTGTGAATTTGTCACTGTGAACAAGTCTTAACTTTTGCAATCTGTAAAGTGGAGAATTAACACAAGTGGGTTATTGTGAGGACTAAATGAAAAATACATATGAAATACCTTCCCTGGCATAAAAAGTATTCAATGTATAGCAGCTCTTTCACAGGTAACTAAGACAGGTAAGTTAAGAGATTTAGCAGCTAAAAATACCCAGCCCAGCATCCATTTTCCCTTCTTCTTGCTCACAGCACCTGATTTTATGTGGGTACAAGTGGTAATTTGTCCATGGATGATGGGTCCTTTGCAGCCATAAGTGGTCTAGGTTGAGGTGCCCAGATTAAATGAAAGGTAGGTTTATGGCCCATTCTGGCCAGTGAAGAAGCAGAAGTTTGCTGCGGATGATTGTAGAAAGATATTCCTTGGGTGAAAAGTGATGAGAGTGACATTTGGAGAAAACATCACCAATTTTGTCATGCCTGTGTACCATATTTTGAATTGCATCTTGTTCCCATAAGAAGAGACCTCACGCCAGGCGTGGTGGCACATGCCTGTAATCCCAGGACTTGGGAGGCTGAGGCAGGAGGATCACTGTGAGTTTGAGACCAACCTGGGCTACAAAGTGAGCCCAAGGCCCGCCTGAACTGCATAGCAAGACCCTGTTTCAAAAAAGATAAAAATAAAAAAATAAGTATGGCCATTATAACCAAAAAAAAAAAAAAAAAAAAAGAAGAGACATTGCCAGGAAAAAAATATAAGGCACCTGGGACTTCAATAAGTGTACTAAGTTCTAAATGAGGCATTCCTAGAACAGCTCTATCTTGGGACTCCTGTCATTTTGTTAAAGATTCTTTTAGCTGGATCTGATGTTCCTTGTAGCCAAAACCATTGTGACCAATATAGTTAGCTACAAGTCCCAGAGCTAGGTCAGAACCCACCTCTCCTGAGATCCAGCTCTACATTTGTCCACTTAGAACAATTACTCAGGAAAAATAACTACCAATCACATGGGTAGTAAAAAATATAAATGATATGGTATTAGTTACATTGAACTATAAGACCACCAATGGAATATGGGTTTTACATTGTGAATAATAGTAACCATTTCATTATTTCTACTTTTAAATACTTTTCAGAATACAAAAATGTCCAAGCGGTAATGATATGTACCTACTCTAATGCTAGATACCTCATGCATGTTATCTCAAAGCTTCACAGCCAATAAAAAAGATGCATCTTTTTCAGATAAGAAAATCAAGAATCAAAGAGGTTAAAAAACTTGCTGAAAAGAAGACAGAGAACTGACACCACTTGATTTCAAGACTTTCTATAAAGCTATAGTGATCAAGACAGTGCAATATTGAGAAACAGGTAGATAAATAGGTCAGTAGAGGAGAGCAGAGAGCCAGAAATAGGCGTATACAAAGATAATCAACTGATCTTTGGCAAGGAGCAAGGGCTATTGAGAAAGTCTAGTTAGTTTTTTCAAGAAACTGTGTTGGGATAGTTGGATATCTACACGCAAAAAACAAACAAACAAAAAAAACAAACAAAAAAAACAAACCAAAACAAAAACTATACACAGACTTTATATCTTTCATTAAGAATAATTCAAGTCATGGCCACAAATATAAAACACAAAATTATAAACATTCTAGAAGATGACAGGAGAAAAATCTAGGCAAAAGATTTTCTAGATATAGCATCAAAAGCATAAACCATGAAAGAAAAAATTTGAAAAATTGGATATTATTAAAGTTAAAAACCTATGCTTTGCAAAAGTTGCTAATAAAAGAACAAAAAGCCATATACTGAGAGAAAATATCTGCAAAATGCATGTTGAATAAAAGCCTTTTTTCCAAAATATGTAAAGAGCACTTTTTTTTTTTTTGAGAGACGAGGTCTTGTTATGTTGTCCAAACTGGTTTTGAACTCCTGAGTTCAAGTGACCCTCCAGCCTCAGTTTCTGAAGTGCTGTGATTACAGCTGTATGCCACCATACATTACCACACCCAGTTGCAAAGAAGTCTTAAAACTGAATCATAAGAAAACAAATAACCCGATTAAAATGGGCAAAAGAAGCAATTGAGGCGGCAAGTGAGCCTATGAATAGGTACTCAACATTATGAGTTATTAGGGAATTACAAATTAAAACAGAAATGATCTATCACCACCTCTATTAGAATTGTAAAACCTCAAAACACTGACAAGTTGCTGTCAAGGAGGTGGAGCAAGAACTCTCACTCATTACTGGTGCTTACACAAAATGACAGTCACTTGGGAAGACACTCTAGCAGGGTTTTACAAAGATAAACACAGTCTCATCATGTGATCCAGCAGTTTCCCTCTTTGGTATTTGTCCAAGTAAGTTGCAAACTAATGCGTACACAAAACTAATGCATACACACAGCGTTTATAGCATATTGCCTCAAATTACAATCAACCAAGATGTGCTTTACTAAGATGAAGTGAGAAGCAAACTGCCATACAGTGGAACGTTATCAATGATAAGTAAATGAGTTGCACCCATGATATATAACTAACCTTCATATTAATGGATAGGTGGACAAAGAAAATGTGAAATATATATATATATACTTATATTATATATTATATAATTTATATATATATATGTATGTGTATATGTATGAATACTATTCAGCCTTTGAAAGGAGGCAAATCTTGTCAATTGTGACAACATGAATGAAGCTGAGAACATTATACTAAGAACTATAGGTACAGCAAGACAATTATTGCACCACTTCACTTACATGTGGAATCTTAAAAAAGCCAAACTTATAGATGTGCAGAGAATGGTGGTTACCAAAGGCTGGTGGGGGCTGCTAAATTGAGAGAGGAGAAGTTCTCCAGATACAACAATGTTCCAGTTAGATAGGAGGGATATGTTTTCAAGATTTATTGCATAAAAAGGTAAATAATGTATATTTTAAAAATTCTAAAGTTTTAAATATTAGTTGTCAATCATAATTTCATAATTTTTCAGAAAAATTTTTCAAAAGTAAGTTATTAAGATATGAAAAGATATGGCAGAACTTAAATGCCTATTGTTAAGAGAAAGAAACGACTCCAAAAAATGACTCCAATTGTATAATACTCTATAAAAGACAGGAATATAAAAGCAGGAAAAAAAAATAATTGCCAAGAGTTTAGAGAAGGAGAAAGAGGATTAAGTAAGTGAAAGTCAGGATTTTTAGGGAGCTAAAACTATTATGTCCTAGCAAACATATGACATTATGCAGTTTTCAGATCTACAGAACTATACCAGAGTGTTCTATAATGTAAATGGTAAACTTTAGTTAATAATGATGTGTCAACATTGAGTCAACTATAGCAAATTTACCACACAAAAACAAGATGTTAGCAATAGGGAAAACTGGTGGAGGGAACATGAGGGTGCGTTTATATGTGGGAACTTTGTACTTTCTGCTCAATTTTCTTAAATAAAACTAAAACTGATCTAAAAATTAAGGATTATTAGTTAATTTTTAAAATAAAAAAGACTTGATTTATTTTTATTTTTTTGGTACCAGGAATTGAACTCAGGACCTTGTGCTTGTCAGGCAGGCGCTTATGCCACTGAGCTATCTCCCCGGCCCTAAAAAAGACACGATGAAGATACAAATAAGCAATGGAAATGCCAAAATTCAAACCTATAACACTTTCACTCAAAAATGCACAATTTTACCTCTGTATCAACCTTTACTGACCCCGGGTTTTATGAGCTATCGTAACTGATTATTTACACGGAATTTCTATTTCTCAGTTGATCATGTTCCATGTGACAGTTCTTTACAGGTGACTGTGGGTGGGACAAGATGTGTGAAACAATGAGCACCTTCTCCTTAGTCATGTCCAGCAGTCCAATGGAGTACCGTTCACAGTTCAGGTATGTTCTAACTGTGTATAGTGCTTTGTGAAACTGTCTCTCAACGTCTGTGAGCTCTTCAAATACTTTGTTGGCTGACCACATAAGGATCTGAAAGTAGGTATTAAAAAGAAAATAGTTAGAACTAAACACTACGGAGAGGTAGAGCATTTGCTCAAAGAAAATGAGGTATATCGAATAAAATTATACATATGTAAATCAAATAAACTAAATACATGACATTAGACAATGCAGTGCTATATTTGAGCATGTATATATCCAACTACTACTCAGATTCTTTAATTAGGATTATGATCAGACTTTTGCAAAGTCTTGGGTTTATGAAGGGAGTGAAGCCATAATTAGTCTCCATGTCCAAATGTTTCGGATTCAAAGGACGAGTGCTCTCAAGTTGAAAGCAGAGATAGTTCTTGGACAGAGGATCCAGTATTTGTCATCCACTGGTTCCTGCTGTCCCTTGTGGGTGGAAAGACAGATGACTTCTTCATATACCTAGAGCGGGTCGGAAGTAACTTGTCCTGGAGCATTAGAATGGGAAGGTACTGCAGAAACTCTCCATTTTAACATTTACTCCTACACTGTAAAGATGAGTAAACTCAGGCTCCAGGCTCAAGTGCCCTAGCTATAAATATTGTTCTTTACCCTCTGCCTCATAGAAACAATGAACTTCAAGGCAGCAATTCGTTCCTAAAACGAATAATTTTACCATTACCCGGCAACTGCTAAGAGAGCACTTCATGTGAGAATTAATGAATATTTAATAGTCTCACCAGCCATATGAAGTAGGTACTAAAATTGTCATCACTATCTCATAAGTGAAGAAAGCAAGGCTACCTAGAATTTAGACTGGAAAAAGCCCAAACAGTTGTACATACCGATGGAAGGTTGAGGGGGAGGGGAAAGGAGACCACGAGAAGACACTAAAGTTTGAAGTTTTGGAAGCTGCTGCCTGTAGCTTCACTCCCCAAGAGGAATGAGAGGGGTCTGGGCTTGTGGCTCTGGGTCCCTTTGTCAAAACAGGTCAGCATGGAGTGACTGACGCCACTTGGTCTTTACCTGACTTCTTCTGGACTCAACACTGTACAGGTAGTTGGTATGCTGAAGCCTTAGCATGACAGAAACAAAGTTGAGGTATTTGGAAAAGACCTACAAATGACACACAAGAAAAAACTATAATTTTAATGCCTTTCCTTTGGTTATACAACAAAATGTCCCGCCCTCCCGACAGGATGCCCAGGATCAGCGTTACCTCTTCATCCTGTTTGGAAAACTCTGATGCATTTCTTTTGTTTATCGCCATAACCACAGCAAGAACTTCCTTGCCCATCATGATTGGAGTCGCCAGCAGGTTTCTTGTGACATACCCAGTCTGTTTGTCCATAAAGTCAGAAAAATGGTTGTTCTGAAAAGAGGATTCACATGTTTGCCAAAACATTACAGAATTATGGAGCCGCAGGTATAAGACATTCTCTCTAACACAAAGTGTACCAATATATAACCGAGGCCCTAACAAGATGATGCCAAACAATTAGTGCCCCCTACACCCATTATCCTATGGCTGTGTAGGATGAAATTCTCCATTTCAAAATAGGTAGTCCCTCTGAGCTGTGGCTGGTGCCCAAGTTAGTCTGAGGCTGGGCCAGAAGTAAGCAATGGCATCACCGCCTAGTGGAAGGAGAGGCGCTGGAGAGAAGGAAGGGGAATGGGTAGCACTGCAACAGACTGTAGAGAAACCGTGCAGAGAAGTAGAACAGCTGGGGTCACACATTACCCTTCATGAATTGTAAAACTACAACATGCACTTGAAGCTAGTCAACCTACATGCTGTGATATATAAAAAATTAATAATCTCTCAATCTTTCAATTCACCTACTTGATTTCAGCGTTAACTGCGTGGTGTGTCTCTTTCTGTGTGTTTTGCTATGCTTGACCAAAAATTTTTTTTTGCTCTTTATAAAATTTACTTTCTAATTTTATGTGATACTTTCATCATGTAGAAACATAGACTTCACTCCAGACCAACTCAGATGGAAATGAGGTCACCTCCTGGCTTGTATAGTGCCATATATTGTGCCCGCTCTGAGACCATTCAAGTGTCTTCTACTGACTCAGGCTGTTTATACAGCCTCAAAAACTATAAATGTTTTCCCCACCATGGACAGTGAAAATTGAGCTAATCAGCTTTGATTTTGTTTTTATATTATAGATACCCAGAGCAGAAATCCTTTGGTTAGATCAATAGGTTATATGCAATTTTACATAGAACAAATCATTTTTATGAAAGCTTTACATTCTTTCTTCCACTGTGAGATGACCCTCTTGCCAGACATTTCCAATCATTTTCTTTCTTCTTTTCTCCCTTTCTCATT